ATTTGCCTAAAATTTCCCACAATTTAATGATAATTTACTGAAAAATTTCTCAACATTTGAATTAGGAATTCTGTAGGAATTCCGCCATTTTGACAAAATTTGCCAAATTGTAAGTCCTCCATTATCCCAAAATTGTAACACAATTTACCTCAATTTACCGGGATAATTCTCAATTTGCCAGAAAAATTCCAGGCAAATTTTGCGACAATGACATCTGTTCGACCTGTGTCTGTTGGGCCCACTACCGTTTTCGTCAACTTTTAATCTCCAAGGCGGAAGAATTGGGAATTTCGATTATAATCCAGAATGAAGCATTTACTTCCAAGACTTGCGGTTGTTGTGGAAATGTACAGGATATTAATGGAAAAAAAGTATACCGATGCTCAAAATGTGGGATTGCATTAGACAGAGATATAAACGGAGCTCGAGGGATTTCCTTCAAGCGTTGCTTGATGGGGCCGTGTGTTTGCACACAGGAAACAATAGACACTACTAGAAATAGTATTGCTTGTTATTGATAATAAAATCCATCTGAGTACCTATACTATGTTATCATCAGCACGATTTTTTGTGTCTAAGATAAGTAGTTTCCATGTTACTATTTTTGCATTCCTTTAGCAATATAGGTTGGTCATAAAATTGAATTTAGAATATGAATATAAAAGTCATAATCAGAAATGGACAATACTGATGAAATTCCCTCTCTTTATGAGCTTGTTAAAAGCGATACATTACAAGCTCATGATAAGTTTGTGGCTGATGAAAACATGCGAACTGGAAAATTGTTCATTTATAATGGTGTGCCTATGATCGTAACACCGGATGGTATACCATGTTTTTCGGTAGACGACTTTGACAAGGTTCTTACGAATGAAGTATATTTTATTTCCGAGACTAAATCAGAAGACTATGGAGTTGGTCGTGTAGATAACAATAAACTTGTAAATAAGGATCTCTATGATGCATCACTTAATGAAGCATTCAAAACTGCATTAGACATTGGTCTAATAAAAGTAAACGAAATTATCGTTAGAAAGGATAATCGTCAAGGAAAGATAATTGGTGACACTTGGAATCGCATCATCACTAGAGATGGACTACCATGTAATTCTTTTGGAGAATTCGGGAACTTTCCCTGGAGGCTAATACCAGGAGATGGATCTTCGCCAGATGATTTTGGAGAATCTTGTGGACACGAAGCAATTAAAAAAAATTAATATTACGTACCTGATTGTACTATTTCTTGTTGTGATGGAACTATAAATGTTGTGTAAGCAGATAACAGGAGAATGATACTATGTTTCGGGAAGATGTTATTAAGCATACATTTGTTTTTTTTGTTTTCAAGAGTACGAGATTATCGATTTATAAAAAAATAAAAAAATTGGGAACATAAGAATCTACTTCGTAGGCGGAACCTAGAATCTTAAACGTGTATTCAAAATATTTACCTTCGTAGATTACAGATAGTTTGACATTTCAAGGTAAATTATCTAATCACTGATGATGAATTATTGAATTTTGGAATGCGGACAGGTTCATTTCATAACGGCTGCTATTACTCGCTTTAAAAACTAATAGTATCAGCTACTAGGATCTTATCGTCAAACGATTAATACATGCTTCATTATTTTTTTTAATAAGAAATACTCCTAAACGCACTTGAAAGCTTTTCACTCCTTGGATCCATGGCAACTGTTTACATAAAATTAATCACATTACTAATAGTTATTTTCTTTCGCAGTCTTATATCTTTACTTTAACATAGTTACTTATTCCTGGAAGTGAAGAATTTTTTGGGCGCACACAACTTGTTCATTATCACACACGTAATAGATTTTGTGATTAAGAGTAAAAAAAATGAATAAAAAGCGTGATTGAGCGACAAGACAGTCGGCTTACAGTCTCGTAGTTATTGATATCCGCAGTCGACATCCGCAGAAGCCATATGATTTTTGCGGGGCCTTCATAACTTGGTTTCTTGTCAAATCCATGAATAGATTAAGGACTCTCACCATATTATATGTAGCCTTCAGGTATCCGATACATTATCTAACAACAGAACTAATAACCCATTACTTTTCATGTATGCATAGGTAAAGTATATAACTCCGTTTTATGAGGATTGTGTTCATACCATAACAATGGACTTTTTATTTCAGGGAACTAAGCTTCGTTTACATTAATTTGCTGTAAGGTTATCCTCATAATAATGTAATACACTGTTAACAGAGAGTATAGTTTGGAGTTCAGAGCTTGAATATCACAACACGCTATATATATTTACGAAACAAATCGTTCAACAAAACCATCGCTCTCTATTACATCACGTAAGAACTTTTGTACTATATATTGCGAAACAATACCCTCCAGTATTTCTATTATTTACAATAAAGTACAACAAACGTCATTAATCAGCAAAGCGTTCCAAGTAAAGTACGATATTAAGATGATTGTATAATACAACCTGTATACTATAACATTTTTGTCTCTCTCAGAAATTGCTGTGACATCGCCATCTCGATTTATAAATAAGACTACGCTATAGAATATATTTATTCTGTTATCTATTATCCTGATTATTTTTGCTTTGTCTTTGTCATTTTTCTCCAGGCATTTTGGTTCTCTCCTGACAACCTAAGTAATGGTTACTGTTGCCTGCAGTTTTTCTATATTAACACAATAAACAATAAACACAATCGAGGAAAAGCTCAGACGCCCTCTTATTCCTGTTATTATTCCGTTGTTAACCCCCCGCCCCCCCTCATGATATTCCTGGTGTCTCTTCGAGACGTGATGTTAACCCTTATACTAAGTTACAATCCTAGACTTAACATTGACACTGTTTCGTAATTATGTAGACACAATAAAAAACATCTGATATTTGATCAACGTCTATTCTATTTGTTTGGACGCTTGTCTTACATCTCGTTACTTAGAAAATAATGCCCATCGAAACTATACAATAAGATTCTAAAAATATATCATCTCTCTTATCGCATAAACGATCACTATGTTCATCCCAATAATAACTTGTTGTACTGCAAATGGTATTAGAATAATGGGTGATTATATTATGTAATAACACATGCGGTATCTCCTAGAGTTCCTTCGGAAAAGCAAGTTTCACTAATTTTTGTATAAGATAAATTGTCCGCATCTGTGAATATTGCAACAGAGATTAGTTTATTCTGGAATTGCGTCTATTTTCTCGAATGAGATAAAAAAGAAATCATTATGATGGCAGATTGGTAAGACAACATATTCACTTAAAAATCGAGAGAACACCATTAGGAATGACTGAAAAATATGTACATTGAAATTACTCACCTTGTGTGTTCCCAAGTTAGCTCTAAACGAACTTTGAAATACGTAACAGCAATCAAAGTTGCTTCCAAGAACATACCAATAAATTTTACTAAAAGGGGCCGAATAGTATGACGAGTACTACTAATATATCTCACACGTAAAGCGATAATCTTTTTTACACATTATATTTTTGTTTTCCTCGGTCCATGAAATTAGTCCATGGAGAAATCAAAGAAGTGGAATCAATTTCAGCAGAATTACCAGGACCATGTATCTCATCAGTCTTATGAATACATTTCCTAAAACCTTTGCAGAGGAAGTTCTATCTGACCGTCTTGCCCTATGAATCTAGGTTCCTAGAACCTCCTCCTCCATAATTTTCACTCCATTATTTTCCTCGTTCCTCGAAAAATCATGGAGATTTTTTTTTGCTTACATTTGTCTATTTAATCATCTACGTAATTGATAATGTATGAGAATTGTAAAAAACGAATACAGAGCGTGGTTGAGCAGCAAGACGCTCAGGCTATTTCTTCGAAAGGCTACGCCAAGCCCCTCTTCCTCGTTCCTCCAAAAATCAGAGATTTTTCTGCATACATTTGTCTGTTATTCACCTACGTAATTGATACCGTTTTGTGCATAGTAAAAAATCTATAACCAATGAACGTGTACATTCTTTCCCCAGAGGGTCATTCCAGTTCTACTCCGTACCCTTTGGGTAGATAGAATCTAGGGCAAGACGGTCAGTTCATAGGCTCGAAGAGCAAAATGCACTTCAATCTGGTTTCTTTAGAAAAAGAATATACTACTTTGTAATGATCGCTCTGAATGTATTTCTTCTTCATTGTTGACCGGACAAATAATCTCATCGTTGATCACCATTTCAAGAGAAATGTTTACATTAAAACTCTACAATATTTCATTCCAGAACTATTGATCTTTAGTTAAATAACAATTATATGTAGTACCGTTTATTGGTGGAGTTTGAGTACATCTTTTTTGTTCTTTATTATATTATTCATAAAAGCTGTATTGCTTGTATATATAACTTCAGTAATCGTTATCAACTACTCAGTGCTATTCCTATTATTCAACGCAAATTATATACAGAAAGCTTCTATACGAAAGAACTAGACAAATTATTTTTTGATCGTGTTATGATTGTTATGTGATACAAAAATTTGTGAAACACATGAAATAAGGAAACTGTGACCCCTGGGTCACGCTCTCGTTGTTGGACAATTTTTTAGTATATAGATTGTCATTATGCATAAAAAAAACATATGCTAGCTTTTATTTTCGTCTTCATATTTTTTCATTATTCTCTTTCCAACTTGCGTTAATTCACATGGAATCTAGGGAAAAACCTCTAAAGCTGTTCGGTAAGAAATAAGCCAACTGTGACCTGAGGGTCACGGTCTCGTTGTTCGAAATGATTGTGCACTAATTTTGTTCTACAGTACTAGTAAGGTTACTATGTAACATATCTTATGCAAATTCGTACTGATTAGATTTTATGTATTACATATGAGCCACAAACTAACCATTTCGTGGAACCCTTGTGGGATGAAATTTATGCCAGAACTTTCGATTTAACGGTACAACATACTTTCTCATTTGAATTCCAAGCTATCTTACGAGTTTTCTAAAAAATTAAAAATACTAATCAGAAGAGATGTTGTCCCTACGCTGTTTCGTTGTAGCAACTTCACACACTGATACAATTTTAATTGAGGTCAGTGATGAAGATACTATTGGCATTCTCAAAAAGAAAATCAGGGCAAATAAAGATTACGAATTTGATGAACAGGACGAGTTCACAATATGGAAAATAGACCTCCTTAAAAAAGATTACCGAAAGAAGTCAGGACCCGTTAGAAGTTTTATACCATTCAACCTAAGTATTAAGGAAGTGTTAGGTGGTGAAGAGCTAAGGAACTCTGAAGCGAAAATAAAAGATGCTTTCCTTCATGTGGCCGAAGATTGCTACCATGTGGGCATTCAAATTCAACCGCTACCTGATAACTCTGTTTACGTGTTTGTTGACGATTCCAATTTATTTATCGAAGGCAAATTTGCGGTCGGAACAAAAGAAATGTTAGGCTGCCTTTCATCAAGGGGGTTTCAACTAAACGAATTTCGTATAGATCATGGTTTGCTGCTCGAGGTAGTCCTTGATGGGCGCCTAAAGGGTAGTAAACCGGTTCTTGTTGGTTCTCGTCCTCCAAGTGATGAAGATTTGTAGAACTTTATTAGAGAAAAGGATTATGAAGTCAATGCGCTTGACAGAAATGTAAGAAATCGTGAAAAGGCAGTAGATCCTACGTTAGGACAAGCTATCGATTCCGCCGTAATGTAATACCCTCCCGGCGTTCTGGTACTTGTTGCTAGTGATGGATACTATTATCCTCATATAATGCTGGCCTTGCACAGGTCGAAGGGGCACCATTGTCCAAAATTCAAAAAATGCAAATTCCCCATTTTTCTGGAAAATGGTGGGAAATTGTGGAAAATGCTACATTACGCTGAGCAATTTTTTGGAATAGCATTGTTACAACATTGTCCGATTTAGCAAATCTTATGAAATTTTGGGAAAATGCTACATTACACCTCAAATGTAACATTTCGTAACATTGTTATAACATTGTCAATTAAAAATCAAATTTTGCTTTTTTTTTGTCAAATGGTGCATTTTTTATGAAAATTCTGCATTTGCCACCAATGTAATATCATTGTAACAACATTTCGTAACATTGTTATAACATTGTCAATTAAAAATCAAATTTTGCTTTTTTTTTGTCAAATATTCCAATTTTCTGGCAAATGATGCATTTTTATGAAAATTCCACATTTTTTTATCAAATGTCGCATTTTTTAACAAATTTCATGTTTTTTTGGTCAAATGTTACATTTTTCATTAGAATGTTGTTTTTTTCGATAAAATGTTACATTTTTTTGCAATTTGTTGATATTTACTAGAGATGATGTAACATTTTGCAAAAAATTATATCATTTACTAAAAAAATGCACCATTATCGAACATTATTTACTAAACATTAACAAAATTGTGTCTAACTATCTATTAAAGATAACATGATCTCAATTTTTGAGTGAATTTTTCTTAACTGTGATCTGGAATCAAAATTTACCATAATATTAATTCACTAATTGCTTAATTTTGACTCATGTGATTTCCCCAATAATTATAACAATTATATTAGCAGACGAAAAGTTTAAATAAAGTATATTCAAAGTTTCCAACTTATGCAGTTATTTCGAAGTTTTTCCTTCGAAATGTTATTTTCTCTTTAGGAAACATTTTATTAAATATTTCACCTGCCGAAACTATTAATCTGCAGTTTGCAGATTTTTATTCGATTTAGATCGGATGATCGATAATCTTTTCTTTCTTACTTCTACCGGCCCTTGGATGAAATAAAATGGACGGATTTTTTTAAAGGAAACATTATACTAAATGTTACCTTTTGATTTGCAAGTTTCGTGACCTTTCGTTACGAAACAATTTTTTTTTATTAAAAAAATTTAGGGATTTGGCTCCGACGTGGAAACCAACTTCCCAGGTGAGTTTCGAAAGGAGAAATTTCGAAATTTTATTAAAAAAAAGGAAACTCTTTTTATTTCTTTTTTTACGGACACCAAGTCCTCAGGTAAGTTTCGAAACAAAAAATTCGAAACTTTTACTAAAAAAAACCTGAGTGGCATTTCGAAAGTAAGACTTCGAAAATTTTTTATTTTTCGTAGATCCGGAAGCTGAAGGTACGTTTTCGGACTCAATTTCAAAAAAAAGAAAATAGAAAAATTTGCGAAACGCCACTAACGTTTCGATTTTCTTTTTTTTTTCGGGTTTTGGCTCTCCGGACACCACCTGGACGGGTTCTTTTTTGCGGACAGTTCTTCGATATGGATTTTGGGGAGTCATTTTTTCTTTGTTTTAATTTTCTATTTTAACAAGTTGGTAATAACAGTCCTTCTTTTCCTTTTTTTAGGTTGTTCTTTCGGTCTCTTAGACGGCCAGTTCGGGATATTTAAACGCGCGAGAAATTCGGTGAAGAGGAGTTTCTTAGGTTATTTTCGGGTCTCTTGAACGCGGAAAATTCAATCAGTGGCCTTCGATTTCAGGATCCGGATTGGACTTTGGTTTGGTAAGTTTTGAAGCGAAAGCTTCGAAACCTTACTTAAACCATTTTTTAAAAAAATGTCTTTTTTTGTTTTTTTGTTGTAGGTATCGGCTTCGATCCCTGGATTGGCTTCTTGGATCGGTAACAGTAAGTTTCGATGTATCAAAACTTATCAGAATAAACTTCGATCTTTTTTTTAAAAAAAATATTTTTCCGTCTTATTTTGTAGGTATCGACCTCAATTCGCCATTCTGGTTCTGGTTAGGTAAGTCTAAGTTTCGTTTCGAATCTTTATTAAAATTCTTTTTTTAATTTCGGTTTCGCCTTATTCTGTAGGTATCGATCTAGATAAGTTTCGCAGTAGGCTTCGTCTTCGAATATCAGGTCGGCTCCTTGGGTAAGTTTCTAAACTTTAAAAAACATACTTTTTTTTAAAGAAACGTTGCTAACGTTTCATTTATTTTTTTTTAGATTTCGGCTGAACTCCTTGGGTAAGAAACTAAAAAAAATGTATTTTTTTCAAAGAAACGGCTAATAACGTTTCTTGTTTTTTTTGTAGACGGCTAGTTCTCCGGGGGTATTTGGACGTGTGGGAATTTCGGTGAGGGAAGTTTTTTTTCTTTATTGTTTTTCTTTTTCGTTTCAAAATCTAACAACTTCCGTTTCTTTTTCTTTAGGAACCTGGTTGACTTTGGAATTTTGGAAGCGGTTAGTTTCGAAATGTTCATTCGAAACATACCTTTCTTTAATTTTTTCTAGGAACCGTTTTAACAATTTTTTTCTTTTTGTGTAGATCTTTTGGCATGGGATTCGAAATGGTAAGTTTCGAAGCGTGTGCTTCAAAACTTTTTAAGCAAAATTTTTTAAATTCTTTTAGGGAACATTTCTAACGTTTCTTTTTTTTGTAGGATTTCGGTACTTGATTTGGGAAAACAAGAGTAAGTTTCGCTTCGAAACTTTTAAAAGCAATTTTTTTTTAGGAAATGTACCTAACGTTTCCTTTTTTTTAGGACTTTCGGCTACGGCTCCCTGGACTTTTCGAGAATGAAATGGATGCAAGGTAAGCCGGGGAAAATGTATTTTTTTAATTTTTTTTCGTCAAGAACGTTTACTAACGTTCTTCTTTAATTTAATTTTTTTAGTTTAGGAGTTTAGGAATTTTGGATTGGTTCCGGTTTCGGGCTTTGGTTTCAGAAACCGGAAAATAATTTTTTTACTTCGGGCGTTTGGTTTTTCGGGTCTACGAATGTAGTAGATTTTTTCTTTAATTTCTATTTTTTTTATCTTCTAACGAATGTTTCATTTATTCATTTTTCTAGACGGTTTGTTCTTCAGATATGGGCGCGAAATTCGGCGGGTTTACAACGAGTTTTTTTTTGTAATTATTTCTTTAACGAAACTTAACTCCTGTTTTGTTCATTTCTTTTCTTTTTTAGGCGACTGATCCTTCGAATATATTGACGCGTGGGAAATTAGGTGGGAATTCAACGCCTTTTTCTGTATCATGTATCATTCTTTGATGAAACTTTACTTACGTTTCGTTTTTTCCTTTTTTTTGATTTTTTTTGTAGGAATCTGACCGATTTCGAAGCATGGATCCCTAGGTAAGTTTTCGAAATCTTTCGAAATCTTTACTAAAAAAAGCGCTATATTCACTTTTTTTTTCTATTTTGTAATCCCAGGCAAGTTTTCGAAGGATTTCGAAAGCTTTATTATAAACGTTTTTCATCTTTTAGGAACCCGGCTCTAAACTTCAAAGAAATCGGATACCTTGGTAATTTTCATTTTGAAAGCTTTATTTTAAAAAAAAAGTCATTTTACTAACTTTTTTATTTGGTAGGAAATTGGCCTGAGCTTCAAAACGAGTTTTTGAAAGATTTGGTTTCTCTTCGATACTGAGATCCTTGGTAAGCTTTTGAAGATTATTTCGAAAACTTCATTTAAAAACGTTGTTTACCTTTTTATCCTGTTTTGTAGGCATCGGCTTCAACTTGAATTTTAAAACCTAGTAAGTGGATGTTTTTATTCGATTTTTCTTAATGAACTGTTAGTAATAGTTCCTTTCTTTTTCTTGTAGGTTTTGGGATATCAGTATTGGAAATGGGACATGGAACAGTAAGTTTCGTAACATTTTGTTACGAAACTTCTATTTCTTTTTCTTTAACATTATTGTACTTAACTAAGAATCATAATAAATTGTTATAAAATTTGCATAAAATTACTAAATTACTACTAAATTGTCATACGTTTGCAATTAATTGTTTAAAATTATCACTAAATTGTTGCTCAATTGTCTTAAGAATATTGCGTTTGCCCTCAATTGTCAAGAATTGTCAAACCATCGTTATACCATTTGTCATTGAATTGTATGCAATTGTTCAAATTGTCATTGGAAATGCTACGTTTACACTCAATTGTCCAAAATTGTCAAACCATTGTCATTAGATTGTTACTCAATTTTCTTTGGAAATTCTCCATTTTTACAAAAAAAAACACAATTTACCAGGCAATAACTTCCATTCAACCTAAATTTTCCACAATTTACATTGCATTTACATAACATTACTAAAAATTTAACTAAATTCACCACAATTTGCACTTCGTTTACATAACATTACTAAAAATTTAACTAAATTCACCACAATTTGCACTTCGTTTGCATAAAATTACTAAAAATTTGCCTAAAATTCACCACAATTTACATTACGTTTGCATAAAATTACTAAAAATTTAACTAAATTCACCACAATTTACACTTCGTTTGCATAACATTACTAAAAATTTGCCTAAAATTTCCCACAATTTAATGATAATTTACTGAAAAATTTCTCAACATTTGAATTAGGAATTCTGTAGGAATTCCGCCATTTTGACAAAATTTGCCAAATTGTAAGTCCTCCATTATCCCAAAATTGTAACACAATTTACCCCAATTTACCAGGATAATTCTCAATTTGCCAGAAAAATTCCAGGCAAATTTTGCGACAATGACATCTGTTCGACCTGTGTTGCACCGCAACTGGAAAGTCGAAATATGGTTCTGGAATCAAGGTATAGAGAATTCTATAATGTCGAAGTTAATTGACAGTTCTAACTACTATATACAATTTATAGGGATTTCTAAAGGTCTAAAAAATGCTATTTCTGTAAGCAATATGGTGAAGTTTTGTCTGTTGGAAAATTACTATAAATTGTTCTCATGCGGAGACGGGATCCCTAGTTTTAAATCTAACTTATTGTCACTTTCCCTCCATGGTGAAGATATATATAAGTGGAAAAATCAAGAACTTTTTGCGTGTTTTAAGGCATTAGATTTATTTGGATGGTTGAAGTGGGAGGACAACTTTACAGTGCATCTCTATTTTAGAAAAGGAACGCTTGATCGTGCTATAAATTGGATAAACAAAAATTGGATAGGTGCAGACTCAAAAGTAGAAATGTGGGTGAATAACCAATAATAGAACGTACAATATGGAATAGGCAAAATGCCATCATTGAAAACAATAATCGTATTACACAAAAGCTGTTTTAATGAAGTTTACTATGATGTTCGCACGGATTGTGAATTAGTCTATAAGAATAATTTTTTGCGACAGTGTGATGTTATGCAAGTAAATTACAAGTTAGAATGATGTTCTCACTCGATTCTTTTTGTATTAGCCTACGAAGTAGAGCTTTCCTGGAAGGTTTAAGGAGATTTTTCCTACTGGTGCTTTGCACTAGAAGATCATTACATAATTCTTAATCCAGCTATTTGCAAAAATAAAGGACCACCCAATTCATTTTGCTCCGACGCAGTCATACGCAATGGTCATAATTGATGAAGCGAAGAGTTCGACCAAAGCAATTATTACTCTAGGCGGAGCTACGAAGTAGAAAATGAGAACTTTTTGGAAACATGAGGAGGGATGAAAGTTGTTCCATTACGGTAAAATAGTTTCCAGATTATCATTGATATGACGGACACAACACCTTTAGGAGTTTCGTACACTTCAAGTCTTCGATCAAATTATGGTTAAAATGATTTGCCATATTTTTTATTAAGATATTTGTTCACATGAATAGCTTCAAATGATGCTACCGTTATTAATCAAATTCAATAGGGTAATTAATTTGGATTCGCACCTAGTTTCACTCCATTATTTTCCTCGTTCCTCGAAAAATTATGGAGATTTTTTGCCTACATTGGCCTATTTATTCATCTACGTAATTGATAATGTATGAGAATTGTAAAAAACGAATACAGAGCGTGGTTGAGCGGCAAGACGGTCATGGCGGAGCTCAACGTTCAATGCCTTTGGCACTGAATTCTCTTCGGTAGTAAAACAGAACGTTAATACATTGGTTTTCGGTTGTTATAGTAACATTCTTTAGTCAGCGAGGGGACAGTCTATTTCTAGTTCATAATCATCCCAGGTTCCGTCTCTATTCATATGATACACTTTTATCAACCTATTATTGTACAAATTTCTACTTTGTACCCTCTGGGTAGGTCATCTCAAAATAAAATTGAACCGGGTTCACAGTATCATGTAATCCGTAACTGTTGTTACAATAAAAAGTTCATGATAGTTAAATCCATGTATTCGAAACTATGAACTTCGAAATCAAAACTTTTTACTTCTTAATTTGCTCTTCGAGCAGTCTCCGACTGAAAAACATAAACATTCTCGGAATAAAAAGTTACCCTTCTTTGTAAAATAAAAACAGTCTTTTTGTCTACAGTAATAATTGCTTTGGTCGAACTCTTCACTTCATCTAAAATGAGCAGTCTAACAACAAATTAATTTGCGGTAACGAAGTGGTTCATATATGAAAGTAAACAATTAAGATACGATATATTGATCTAAAAATATCTTGTGAATAATGCCTTAAAACTTTATTTCGCATTGTAAAATTCTTGATAATGAAAATACAATCAGCAGTATACAGTACATATATCAATTAATGAACATAATTATCACATTGTTGTTGACATGCCACCTAACTATGCTATCGGTACACGTATTTTTTTAGGGGATGAATTTGACTTTCGACAATATGAATGGTGGTTTGATGAAGATCTAGTTGGTAATTGGGATGAGATTATGGTATTAATCGTGGATTTTACCCGTTCCTACGTAAAAAAATAAAAGATGGGATTAAACTGCGAAGTAACAGGTTTAAAGATTTATGAAGTAAAGTTCTTACCAATAATGAATATAGGGTCGATACTACGGTGATGATGTTCAAAAAATTCGCATTTTCAGTCGGGAGCAATACTTTCGATATTAGATTGCAACGGTATAGGCCATCATATGTCAAATCGGTGCTAAAAATTTTAATTTCACTCCCTATTGGTTTTACATCTGATTAGTTCGATAAACAAACACTAGCAAACCCATATAGTTATTCTTACCACAAATTAATATGCCATATGTTTCCAGACCAGCCACGTAACCGTAAACGTTAATAAGATAGTCTAAAGACCCTTTCATAAATTCTGCTAACTTTATAATGCGTTGATTTACAGCGATAGTGCAATGAGGTGGCTTTATCTCGCCAAATATGAGTTCCCTGTCTGCTTCTTCAATATTTACGAGAATCCGAAAGTCCGGCTTCCTACCATGGTTGTGACCATCTAATAAACGTCTCTCTTTAGAACTTTTGGATTCACCATTTGCCCTGTTTCAATAATAAGATGTGAGCATATATTTATATACTGTAGTTAACATTTATGGTGATCATAAAGAATCTTACCAAACTAATGAAAATTCGGCTTTATTAAAAATTTCCTCAAGTATTTGATGACAGTACCGATGGACAAACATATCTTCATCCATTTTTTTATTCTTATTGTAACTCACCGAGGATAAATAGGTAATGCTGCAGGGAAAAAATGAGTATCAATGATAAATTGGTGAAATAGGTTTATTAAACTAAGAACGTACAAATTCCTTGCAACTATCTGCACACAATCAAAAATGTCTTTGTCTTCGCTTGTTAATAATGTATTCCCTTTTACCCAATTATTACGCCACTTTGTATCAAGTTGTTCTTTGTCGCTCAAAAGCTAAAAAAGAAATAAACAATTAATGTGGTTACTGATTGCTAATAATGATTGCAAGGAAGGTACTTACCCTGTTGTATTCAATTATTACTAGGTCAGCGACGGTTGGCAACTCTTTCGGGACCAATAATCTCAGACGAGCCTCTTTCCATATCTTTTCGGAACACTTGACATATTCTGGTTTAAGTTCATTGCAATATATAATCGACGACAGGCACCTGTAAGTAATTACGGAGTAAGGATTATGGCAAATTTCTGTATTTTTTAGACGCACCCTACGGGTGGTTTCACTAGCCCAGTCCCCAACAGCATAAAAAACTTACAATATCATATCGATTTCTTTCGCATATGATAAAATTGGATTGGTTTTCAACTTTTCGATTGATTCCACTTGTAATTTACGAAAATCAGTAGAGATGTTGTACCCATCCTGTGTTATCCACTATATAAAAAAGAACGGGATTAGACTATACCAGGACAAAAATGCCACAAATCGATATTACAATACTTACATCATTCTTGGAGACATTATTTATGACAACATTATCAATCGCATGACTCCACGATAAAATGACCTTAGATAATACGGACTAAATTAACTATTGTTTATTTTGAAAGGCTGTACACCAAAACTTACACTAACCTTATATTTCGTTGAACCTTCCCCTGTTTGTGCTATAAAGGGATTATTGTCGTTCCCATGTGTCATCCCTACATCAGAATCGTTGTGGCCATTTGGCTTTGAGAGGAATGCAAATTAGAAACATAATACAGAAAGTAAAACAAAAACCGTCAAAATTCATGTCAGAATTTACCGAAAAGAGAGAACCGTCATCTCCCCTTTCCTCAGGAGAACTATGTGTTTCATCTTCTACATTTCTTTGTCGTACTGGAGTTTGACTTTCGCCATCTTCGATAGTAGTTTTGGCCTACGTTCAAGTTATTTTGTTTATAACAAATTTAAGGAGGACCTTTAATCTCAAATTGTTGGTTAAAAAATATCCTTACGGGCTTTTGTTTTTTTCCCCTTCTGATTGCTATCATTTCGTCAATGGGTTGTTTACCATTCTCATAGGAACGTTTATGTCCTTGAATAATATTCCCAGCTCCACCGATTTGTAAACTACCACGAGATAAATCACAAGATAAAAATACATTTTCAGCGTTTATCTCATTATTCTCCGCCGCATTATGTTGTTTCACTCTAGGTAAGGACTTCAACCAAAAATTATCGATGCGTCCCATCTTTTTGGAATCGACCTTATACAAAAAATATACCCAGTTAATGTATCAAGGATATCAAAAACTAAAAAAATAAGAGGACTAGTAGCTGACTAGCTGGACTACAGCGGAGACGAAGTCCATAACTATGTGAAGACGAAGTTCCATAGGTAGCTGTATCCAACAGCGGAGACGAAGTCCATAACCATGCAAAGGCGAAGTTCCATGGGTAGCTATAGTAGCGGAGACGAAGTCCATAACCATGCGAAGACGAAGTTCCATGGGTAGCTACTGCTAGCAAATAAGTGGACACATAAAATTACGGAGAACGCTAACCTGAAATTGTTTTTCGAGACGTATTGCATTATTCTTCTCTTCTTCTGTGCCTTTTTCTTTTATCTTCTGCAACTGTGTGTTAAATCTTCTTGTTACGCTCGCTTTATCTAAACCAAAGTTGCTTTTTTTCCAAAACTCGTGGTACTGAACCACGTCCCAGTTGTTGCACAGAGTATTTAGGAAATAATCGAAACCTGGTCCAGGTTCTTTAATTTCAGATAACATTTTATGGTGAGAGAGGTCAGTTTCAACTCATTCGCTCATTTTTTACTCCACATTTTTACACTCATCGGGAATACCAAACCACATCTTGTATTTCCATAGAGAGTAAAGTATAACAGATAACCCGATATGGTAAATGCGTTTGATGAACTTAAAAAATTTCTGATAATTATGTGTTGTCCACTAGTATTCTCCCAGTCCCACAGCAGGAAATATTGGAAACAACGAGATCGTGACCCAAGGTCACAGTTGTCTTATATCACAGTTATTTTCTTCTCCGCAGATTAGTCTACTGCTAAAGAACATATAGCAGCCAAGTATTTCTAGTGGCAGTAAAATACAGGACATAGCTAAAAGTAACAAAACTTAAACACATAACAAAGATGATTTCACAATATGGGAATACCAACAGCGAAGTTTTCCGTTTTTATTCTTCGACTTATGAGTTAATCCAGAATAGGTAAATCATAGCATGTTGTACAAGCCCGCAGTTTCACTAAATAATTCAGGGGATGTACTCCGTGTCATAAAATTTCACTGTAATACAGGCTGGATCTGTGAATTGTATTATTGGTCGACTATGTGATTCGCAGAATATGGATTACATCATTGTGTAATTTACGTGAAGATGAAAAAAAAATGCAGTAGAGTTCTATTACTAGCCCCTACTAAATTTGTCGTCAGCTAGCCATAGGTTTTTTCTTATAAATAGCTTGTAACTGATTTTTTCAAGGCAAATATGTTGTATATATGTCCCGGCTTAGAGCATAATATGAGCGGTTAAAATTTTCATTGCGTGATCGCACAGATCCAGAATTTGATCTTTCAGCATTTCAATTCTTTCTCTTCGTTACCATCATTACCAACAATATCAATATACCTATTCGCAATTCGTAGACGAGTTTATACTAATGGACAAATGAAATGGCTGCAGTACATTATGAATTAATGTGTCATGATGCGAACAAAGCATTTCACAAACAACCTGCAGAAATAATTTTAAATAAGTAAGTAAGTAAGTACAGTATATCGTAACTCGTAAGACCAGCTATGACAGAGTTTATGGCTATATTCAGTTAACTTTGGCTACGAGGTATGTAATTAAAAAAATATGTATACATATATGAGTTATTTATTGCCTTGCTTACATTCCTGTTATTTGTCTGGTCGCTCAAACTTCATAATTTCATGGAATGGGCCATTTCTTCGAAAGGCTACGCCAAGGCCTCTTTGTCCCTCGTTCCTCGAAAAATCATGAAGATTTTTTTGTATTTATCTTTTCATGTAATCGTCTACTTAATTGAATGACCGTCTTGCCGCTCAACCACGCCGTTAACAGAGGAGGTTCTAGGAACCTACGTTCATAGGGCAAGACGCTCAGGGGACACTGTAAGGACCAGTTAATTTCGGGACATGTTATAACAAGAAAGTTATTGTAACTCAGTCTACAAACGGGGATTCAAGAATGTGTCATGTCTATCACACCGAAGATCAAGTTACAAGTTGCAACATAGTAAAAAAAAGGGAGGTATAGCGATAGTTAATTACTAGGTAGGAGTTGGTCATTAAAATATTGGGAGGTTTTTGTGTCATATAAGAAAGAGCGGTTCCATTTTTTTTTCACATGTTGCCTTGGAATTTTAGAAAAAAGAGTTATCACAAAGTGTTCGACTGCAATCAAGATCACAAATAGGTACGTGTTTTGGTATACTTGCGGAGTTGGATTTGACAAATTAATCGTTGATGGCTGTCATCGAATGATGAAATGACAATATTAACATTGGTATTATCTTGGATTCATTTGTTGCCAATAGCTAGTTAGCATATGATCGTCGAATACCTGATTATGCCACTGTTCGAATTCTTGCTCTTGATGGTATAAGTTATTCTGAAATTTAATGCAACGCTAGTCATGGTGGGCACTAACGTGATGGAGACTTGTACCATAGAACTCTTAGGTTGTGAAGTAAATCTTTCTTTGAAAAAAGTAGAACGTTTGCCCACATTAAAATAACCAAGTGAAAACGCTAACTTGCCCAGACGTCATTGTTACTTTGTAATTACAAAAAAATTATATTTAGGATCTCGTGGAGTAATAGAATTGGAGGTCAATGTAGTTACGAAAGATATATGGACAAATTACTTCTCCTGCGTTGTTCTATTATAATTATGTAGTCAGAATATCGGATTACCAATAGGCAACGATAGAAAGCAATTTTGTCTTGTGATATCAAGTCCATGGAAATGATATATTAATCAAAGAATAGCAACTAGGACAAAAATCAGTAGCAGTGCAAAATATTTCATAGTTTCACGAACTATATTCCAAAGAAATACATGAGGAAGTAGCGACCACAGTTAACATTAACATATCGATGTAAAAAAGAAGATAACAACTGCTTACTTTATTTTTCATCTCGCACATAACATATTACCGTATTTAATTTTTTTACTTAGTCTTCCGCAGTATACATACTACCGCCGAAACTATGAAACGATTACATTACACTAATACACTTTAAGTATTACTCTTTCGGAATAGTTACTATTCCTAACGAGAATGATTTTTAAACTATTAATGCTGCTAGTTCGTATTAATGTGCATTGGTAAAGCTATTTTTATCTACGCCATTACCATGTGACACTCTGAACAATGATTAGAGTATCACGTGTTATCCGCAGGACTATTAATTGTTTTCTGTCGTTGACTACTAACTAGCAAATTGTCGAATGATTTCATCTCTGTTCTTAGAAACATTAAATTACTGTGATTTATCAACAAAGTGAACTACTTCCTCGACTAGACTTTTTCTGGGAATTTCTTGGCAAAAATGATCAACAAAATAATTTTATTAAATTTCGATTCACGTAATTCTTGGAATATTTAGTCAAGTATTCGATGATATAATTATATTGTATTTTTGTTGTCGCTCATTACCCTCTCCATCAACAATGTCATTTACAAAAAGTGGTGTTAATAATAACAGATAGTAGAATAATTGGATATCAGAGATTGTTTCGATTACTAAAAAAACAATTACCGTAATCCCGCTAATGTTTTTTCGGCAGACAACAGGAACAATGATTTACAGGGAAGAGAAGAAGAGAAGCGAATAACAAAAAAATATTTCTCTTTTGATGCACGTCATTTGTAAGAATCATCTTTTGGAAATGATCAACCATATTGCGCTATTTCTAGAATTTTCTAAATTATAACCTCATATCAATAATCAATCACAAGGCTCTAAAGATTAACATATGGATCAACAGTTCGAATAAAATATTTTTCTTTAATGGAGACCGCAATAAACTATTTAAATGAAAATACTAAGACTCAGTTAATTGATACGAAGGTACAGTTAAATGATACAGAGACTCGGGTGGCGCCTTCGAAATCACATAAAGTGGAACGGGAGTTAGGCATGGGTGAATGGTATGAAGCAAAATGCTTTATTCAAGAGAGACGAGTTCTTCAAAACTAGGGCCTTGAACTGGATGAAAGAGATAATCAAAAATTTTATGCGATAATTATAAGCGACAAAAGTAATAAAGTATTTCACGATTAATGAGAAAATTTAGAACAAGCAAAAACACATAAGTAGTTATATTTTTCTGTTTATATTCTAGCAATGAGAATAACTTTGCCTATTAAGGGAACACAGTGATACAAGCTTCGGTGGCTTAGAAATTGTGTATTTAACACGCTCAAAGCTAATACGTTCTTTATTAATGATGAGAAATCGTGGATACAAGATAACAAGACTAGAACATCTATTGCCCATTGCTCGCCAACTTTATTTTACCAGTATATTGCATTGGACAAAATCTATGATATCAATAGCATATGCATTAAGGGCAATGTAGGCAAAAAAATATTTATTATTTTTCTGGAATATAATTATTATGTACGTGACATACTATACTACCATTATGCTCTTTTTATACAAATACCATAAGGACGAATGTCACATTCATTTGGTGAAATCCAATACTCACCAACTCCTGTTATGTCCTTTGAAATCTTTCTTAGAGTTTTCGGGTTAACCCGATTCTGAAATACAAAAATATACCTTTCACCGTTCAACTCAAAACTACGTGAGTAGCTAGCTGCAACATCGATATCTGGTGTTGAGTATATTCCTTTGCCAAAGTTAAAGAGGAGTCCTTTAGAAAGCAGGTATCCGTCTGCTGCAATTGATTTTGCATTCTTATAGTCAGTTCCATGGTATGAGACCTGAAAGCAGATATAAGCAAATAAATTATATCCATCTTTTTAAGGTAACGTTTATAATTGAGAAATCTTAGCATTACATACTGCCCATTCGTTTTGTGGAATTTCGCCTATTTGAAAATCAACACCAAGCCAACCATTTCCTTCTGGATATTTGTTAATTACATTAAGGGCGATTCGATTCCAACCACAAGGCCTATTATAGATTTCACCACCACGTGTAAAATTTAGTCCATCATCCTTAATATTTGTTAAATCAAAGTCGAATTGTGGGCTGAGTAAACTATCTGGTAAAATAGTTTCATAAGGAGTGGGAGTTCTATCTGGCGGACCGCCTCCTCGTAGTCTGAGTACCACAAACAATGTAGAATCATTCATAATCCTATAATCGCTTAATCGCCTGTCATCCTCAAGTTGTTTGCCATCAAAAATTAATCGTTGTTGATCTGGAGGTATTCCTCCAGCATTATAAATTCTCAGTTTGAGTTGTTCAACTGTCTCTGAAAAATCCAGATGATCTATGACGATAAGTTCACCGGTAAGCGTTTTGATGCCCACTTTTGACGAAGATGTTTGAACAAATCCATATTCATATGGACACAACAAGCTCCTGTCAAATTTTTGACGGTTATATACTTTAATTTCATCGTTACTTTTATCGTAACAGAATGTGAATGGGAAATCACCAAAGGAAGTGAGGATAGCTCGAATCAATGTTTTACTATCAATATTCATTATAGAATCGTAAATGGGACTATTTCGTTATTAGCGACTTTTAAATAGTCAAGTAAATTCAGGGGTAAGTTTTTTTAGGTAGCTAACGTGCATGGACTTTGGGATGTTTATATTTATAATTTCAATGTTAACAAGGCGTGCAGACTACATATGTCATATATGATAAATCCTGATATGGGAAAATAATAAAGTCTATTATTAATACTACAAATTTTCAGTCCGATACATTTTCCGGATCTACAAATTTTGGACCAAAGGAACACAATGCACTCGTGGATGCATTGACCAATCCTGACAAAGGCGGATATTGAGGTTTATGAATTCTATTGTGGTGCAGTATTCCGAAAATGGAAAACTTGGGTGAACAGATAGAAACAAAATTCCTTATTATAATGGAGCCAAATAAAGAATAATTCCAAAAGGTAATACATGTTACTCATTTTTTATTACTTAATGCAAAAGATAAACGAAATTAGGCAAGTTATCGGAATTGCACATTAATTATTCCAGCATTTGGTGATACAATTTATTACGTTAAAATACTACTGTGGACTGTCTGTAGAACGTTTGAAGAAACAAAGGACCAGTCCCTGAACATCTACCCTATAGTCATTCTTCAAACTTCTTCTCAACCAGTTCAAAAAATATATTAGTCGTGGTCTATTAACGTAATCGATTGCTCGTCTATAATTTTGTTGATATGGATTGCATAACCTAACATACTGTGTGTGATTATCGTGCATTTTCAGTTGCAACATCATCGTAAATGCCTGGATGACATTCCAAAGGAATATTAAATAACTACTTAGAGCCAAAGTACATTATAATATCCCTTATTACATAAATATTACAAGACATCTTCGACTTTTTTGTATATTACGTAATATATAATCTAGCTCTTTGCATAGAAAAGAATGATACAGTACATATAATCCGGATAAATCAAACATCAGCCAGGTGATAACTAAATTGTTATCGCAAAAGATGTTGACATATATGGATTGAGATGATATCTATTGTTAGTGCTGTATCACATTCTATCGATTAAAATATCTGGTGATACATATTTCATTACGAAAAATTCACCACATACCATTTTTGCCTGAAGAGATGATCAATGGTATGATGATGCAATGCATAGTAGTGAAACTGGCTAAAGCAACTTGAATAAGCATAACCGATCACTGATTAGGGATTATGTCAACGAACAAGAAACTTACTGGAGCATGAGATCTGAATACGAATAATTGCCTTGCTTTCGGCTAAAAATTTCAACGACCAGAAGTCGCCAAAGTAACGTGATTTTGCCAAGAGATTTCCGAGACGGCCCGTCCCGGAAATTACAGAACGGAGTGAACTGAAAAAATTTCACTGGTGAGATACCTCTGAGGAGTGTGGCGTATTACCACGTGAATTGTTTGTGAACTGAGTTCACTGCTAGGAATTGGCATTTTCTGCTTTTTTACTCCAAAAGATTTTCTGAAACAGTAAGTTACCATTGAGCGTTGAATTTTCTGAAGGGGAAGTATAATAGGATACTCTACTTTGTAGAAACTATTCTTGACCAAAAGTCTCCAACACGCTAATATAAATCTACTTCTACATTATCGTCTAACGACCATCAGTACTATAGTGTTGGTATTCAATAAGGAAAGAATATTGATTTACTGAGTGAGCTTTTCCTTCAATTGTATCTTGACCTCAGTATTCGAAACTGTTGGAACTGAATTATTGACGAATCTATTGTGAAGTTTGAGGAAAAAAAGAAATAATCGTTATTTCGTAATCCATAAAGGAAGTAGAGAAATCTGGGAATCCAAACAGCCAAACTGTTTGCAGGAAAGCTATAACAACGAATAAGAGACCAACCGATTCCAACTTTTAACCCGTTGTATTTGATTTACTTTCGTAATGGAAATAACTTCTTTATTCCGGTTTAAATTCTTCCTGCTGTTTGTTTGAAAACTGGATTCTTATTTTTTTTCTACGTTCAAAACGATCACGAATTAAGTATCCGATTGTTTTATAGGATGATTATGATTACAGATTAATAACAAAAATATCACCTTTCTTCTACCTTTTCATATTCCGAAGGAAATACCCTCCACTTGTTTCTTTGTCATCTCCTACATCAGTAGTTACATCAACAATGTTATCTACAAAAAAATTCGGGTTGTTTTAAAACATGGTAACAATATTCAAATAATAGGACAATATATCGTCCAACTTACTGTTTTTCTTGCTCAATATCTAACTTAAACTAAATAATACCAATTCGCATTATTTTTTGGTCTTTCATTCAAGACATCAAAAGATTGGTCTAAATAATAAGCACAATATACTGAGTCCCGCTGTCCCGCTCACATGTTACAATAGATCAAACATCAAAGGCGGAAGAATTAATAATAAACTATTACCATAATACTAAAATGCGAATATATAATATTTCGATTACTAAAAAAGTATACTGCATGACCATTATGTAATTATATTTTGATTGTTCTCTCACTATACTCCTAATTTCGATTATTGTATGCTTGTTCTCGATCACATACATCCCGGCATCTATATTTTTTACTATTACAGTATCCTCTTCGTTTTGCATTACCATTTTTAAAGAATTATTTTCCGTTATAGATATCGTATCCGAATCATCTTATGTCGGATGAATTTTTTACTTTTCTCACACCAGAAGAGTATCCAAGTAGTCCATATATATTCCCGTTATTGACTCTTACAACTATTACATTTTTAACTATACTATTCTTGCTTATTCTTGGAATGTTCCGAACTACAGTATGATTATTGTGCACTACGTACAATACAGATCACGAAAACTGTGATTTCTTCTGTATTCTGTTTTGTCGTTGACACCCAAGCATTTACAAGCTATACAGGTTATTTAGTGAAGCTTCGAAAAGCTGCCATTTCGTACATTTAATATTTCACTAGTCTTTCTAAAGGAACACAATATTGCGCAGTTTATTCTATAATAGAATTCCAATATACGATGCCTATCCTAATTAAGTAATTTATTATATATTATGCCCTGTGGCTTATATGATCTGCACTACTATTCCTTATTTGTGATGGCCTTAGAACATGCTAGTAATTCTAGGAAAGTAAGGTAACCGTGACCTTCGGGTCACAGTCTCGTTATTTAGAAATTTTGTGCTGCATGGTCAATATTGTACTACGTGAGCATGCTTGCCGATGATAAATAAAATCTAGAACTGGAACTGATTGATTACCTGAGCCACATCGGATATCTTTACAAATCACACTAAAAATTCAAGAGGAAAACTCGTTATATTATTATACTTGAGGCCTGAAGAAAACGAACATGTACAGTGCCCGGAAAAAAGTCAGTAACCACGTAAAAAATTAGCAATTAGTTAGTGAAGTTCACCACTAAGTAAACTTTTTTTCATAATAAATAAATCGCCTTTCATAGATTAAGTAATATTGTGCGTCATAATGAATTACATTTATCCTAAAATTTTTAAGCTAATTAAATTCAAAATGAATTATATAGTGCAATTTTTATTTGAAAATTTTGTATTTTTATAATAAATTTTCAATTATAAATAACTGTTAAATTTTTTAGTCTTAATATGTTGTGATTAATTAAGAAAATTTGTTGGCCATGTTAAAAAACATGGGTCCTTAAAATTTCAGGTTAACTGGATTTATATTCATTAAGTTCGCTTTGTTTAAATGCAAAATTTCGTGATGAATCACGTGATTAAAGATCATTTCTATTTATTTATAGCTTGTTTGTCGATCATTTATTAAGTAAATTTATGTCTCAATTTTCCCCGTACATTTCAAACTTCTTATTGAAAGAATGTCAGCAAAATTTAAAAAAAATTTATAGATTTTAAGTGCAAGTTTTATAAAATAACAAAGATAATCAGTAACTAATTACATGATCGATTGTAAAATTTTGTAATTAAGTCAAGCAAACCTTAGTAAGTATGAATCCGATTAATCTTAAATTTTAAAGAACCATGTTTTTTAACATAACCAACAAGTTTGCTTATTCGATTAGAATACTTCAAGACCAAAAAATTTAATGATTAATTATAACCAAAAATTTTGTTAAAAACACTGAAATATATGGACTAAAATTGTAATAAATAACTCAATATAGATCAAATTAATACGAAATTTTCAGGATATATATAATTCATTATAATACACAGCTTTACTTATTTCATAAAGAGTAATTTTATTAGTATAAAAAAAAGTTTACTTAATAGTAAACTTTGTTAATTAATTGCTAATTTTTTAATTGCTTACTGACTTTTTTCTGGGCACTGTATGTATTTAGTGAAACTGAGCTACGCTCACTTCGTAGGCTTCGCCACTGCTTCGCCTATAATATATATTAGGTGACAAATATGATATTACGATTGGTCTATTGCTTTAGATGAAGAAAGTGACACGTTCCGCAAAAAAAAGAAATTACGAATTCCTAGTGATCTGAAAAAGTATACGGGACTGTTATTGAAAGTTCTCGAATACGAAATAGGTATTTGGGTGCTCTTTGGAGGGTTACGCCCTCTCTCATATAGTCATTTATTAACTGCATGTACATTTATCATTGTTGATTTTTGACACGAATCATGTTCCACATTATGTATGTACTTTTTTGTTTGAATATGCAAAGTTAATATTTATTTTTTATTTTTCTCTATTTTCAGACTTAATAATTATGAGTGATCTCCTACATCAATAACGGAAATTTATTGGTTAGTTGCGGGGTACATGGAACTTTATCAAAAGTGTTGGTATTCGTTAACTGAGGACACTTGTATGAATCTTCGGAGTTTAGGTGTAACCTCTAGAATAATTTCCAAGTTAGTTCAAATGCAAGCATATGAAAATACCAAAAAGAAGCGTTACTGAAAGAACAATTCCCATAGCTGCTCGCAACACATGTCATAGATACATGACCACGAATACTTTATCGTCATAGTGGCACAACTTCGATACTGCTACTAGGTCATCTTCATTTTTTCCTTCGCCTGCTAAGCTATTTGTGACGTGTCGTTATTTTCGTAGCTTAACGTTAAGATCGATAATCCGGGGGAATTGTTTCTCTAAGCATTCCTCTGTACCGATTTTATATGTATAAATACCTCTAGACTCTGCACTGTTTGACATTAAAAAAACCGCAAAAAAAAATAAAATCAAAATGAAATTCAACATTTTTTTGCTCCTTTTGGCCACCTTTCTTGCTGTTGGGTCGCCTCAGGAAATACAAATACATCCAGGCGAATATCTTATTCAAAACATTCATACCAATAAATATTGGGCAAAGCCAGATTTGGCTTTTGGCATTCCTCTACAAACCGAGGGTAATGTAGTATGGAAAATTTTTGCCGTTGGCAAAAATTTCTACATTAGACCCCTCTCTCATGTTCAGTTATCACTCGCATTATTAGTAAATGACAAACTTCTTAGACTCAGGGAAACTACTCCGAATCCACAGAATCTACAATGGATAATACATCCTTCCGGTAGCAATGTAGCTATTCAATCTGCTGCGGATTCAAAAAAGTATGTAAATACAGATGTCTATAATAAGATTGATTATCTTTCTCAAGGTTCTGATGCTGAACCGATGTGGAGATTAGTACATTATGCTCCTAAAAGGACCAAACTTCTATAAATTCTTTTAAATATTTTTTTACTATTGTCTATAACATGTAACTAAAGGTATACTTTGTACAAATTGTATAATTTTTTGTATCTGAAGTATACTGTATATATATTTTTTGTATCTTTTTGAAACTAGAGTTAGACAATTACTATAAATAAAGCAAGGTCATACATATTGCTTAAAAACATGGTTCTGTTTCATATTTGTCAATAATTTTTTGATATGAGATGTCTCACTATATTGCCAGAATGCGTAAATAACAATATAGTTTCTTCAATTTCGTAAAAATAGAATTCTATCTTCTGTGCCAAATTTTAGTGTGGGTATTACATGCATTGATTTACAAAGATAATTTGTCCGAAGTGAAATGAAGGACTTTAATTGTTTTGACAAGCGATAAAAAATTTCATAATAAGCTTGAGAGTTTCGCCCATCTCTGTTTTCTTTTTGTATTCCTTCATAATTTCTTCAGTATAACCCACTTTATTCACCTCTTCGAGGGTGAGCGTACCACCCAAAAAATAATGAAGAATCAGCTGCAGTAGTTTCGCCTATTAATCATACAGTCGTTTGTAGTGGACAAATATCAAATAGGCAGTTATACCAATAATAACAGAAAACTATGCATTATAACTTAGATCTGAACATAATATCGGAGCTATATATGAGCTGTATGTGGAAATAATTAAAGTAAGTTTTGCGTATCTGGTGTTTTTCATTTACTGCTCTCAGTTTCAAAAGAATGTTCATTTGCGTTTGATGTCACGATAGTAAAATGTTGTACCGCTCGAAGTCTATTGCTGTTTGTATCTGTTTCTGGTGGGTCGCTATTTTCAACTATTATTCCTCGCTTGTTCTTTCTTGAAGACAGTGAATATTATGTACTACATATTACAAAACTATTATTATTCGGTTTTTGTCATTAACAACTCTGTAGCCATAATCATTAGAACAATCTATAACGCCTATCCTAATTAAGTAATTTAATATCATCAGTGTAGCGTGGCAATTAAATATTTCAATTTTTATGCTTCGTTTTCTAGTGCACTAGTTGACCATTCCCACTGGTGGTATAAGTCATAACTCATAAAGGTATATATTTGCCTCTGTGGAATATCATGTGATAAATAGTATAGATAAACTATGCGGAAACTATAGATTTTTGTTTTGGATAGTAATTGAGAATAGTGCTTTCTAAGCATTTCCCAAGAATGTTTCTACCATTTCGCTTAATAATTTAGTCTGTATTTTTTTTTCTTTAAAAGCGGACTACAATTTTACTATAAACGCTCCATGTTATAAAAATTCTTTATAACGACTAAATATATTTTGGAATTTGTTATTCTATTATATGGCGAGCATGCATCTTTGACGAAGAAAATACCTAATGTGTTTTGGAATAATTCAGATATTTGATTGGGAGAATACTGGAAGAAACACTTGACCCTCAGTTCAGAGTTATTAGTAGATGATGCTGAGTGAACTAAATAAGAGACTATACTGTAGATATTTTTCTTTATGGAGCGGAGAAAAATTTCATGTCAATGATTCTAGCATTTCATACTAAAATACTATAAACAAAAAAAAACATTTCTTAATCTACTTCGTAGGCTCCGCCTAGATCATATTTATTTTTCAATAAAGTATGTCTTTTAACATAATTACATAACAATCGGACATTAGTTTTTCTTCATCGTCTATACTTGTATGATTCGTGATAACCTCCACAGAAATATCTAAACATAAGAGCCAGTGTTAGCTGTTAGTATTATTCAAAGGGTACATGCAAGTAAATAAACGTAATGGGATTTCAATACTTACTTCCATCACTAAGACTAAGGTCAGTAAGCTTTTTGATTTTTTCGACAAGTTTTTTCAATCGTCGGTTCTCCCGGTCTTTGATTATTAATTTAGAACATACAATAACGTGAAAGTGCTTTCTTCCAGGTTGTTCTTCCCAGTGCTTGCTAACAAGTTCTGTTACCTCGAGCTTTTCTAGAACATCAATTTTTACCTTTTTTACCTTCCATAGCTCCAAGTGATTGTGCTCGATATAAATGACATCATTAATTCTTCTCTCGATCTCTTTGAAAATAATCGTTCTGAGACAATTAATATTTGCAATTATGGGACCTTAATGGTAAATGACTCAGGATTTTCCTCTATTTCATGACAAAGATGACAAGTAAGCTCAATTTTGATCATAATGTTATATTTATTAAATGCTGTAATGATATTTTTTTCAAATAAACATTTTTCGTTAACAGATTCTTTACTATTCCAATACCATCTAACTTGACCACGAGTAAACTTGCACATAACTAATTTGCATAAATGTCCGCCATTCATTAAACATTCTTCCGCTCCACATTTTTTGGCATTTCCGTTGGGAATTTGAAGAGTTTGTCAACATCATGACCCTCATATGCACTAGAACTAGTGAATGAACATACGAAAAAAATGTAAATGCAAACCTCCATGTAATGTACATGATATAGTGAGAGTTTTAATAGTTAATAGTAGACTAATAAAAATTTATTCAATTCTTTGTTAATTAAGAATAACAAATATCGTTACATCAGTTATTGATTGATATAATAAAATGCGTCATATAATTGATAATTTATTGATGGCAGTGCACTATCCTTTTTGAATAAGTTTCAATATCTCATCTAGCTTTTGATTCATCCCATTAATTTCTGTTTTAAGCTCGTTAGTTTCTGATCTAAGTCCACTAATCTCTTCTATAACTTGTCCCATCTCTGAGCTTAATAGACGATGCGTTTCTAATTCTATACAATTTTGTATGCCATACTGCTTAGGTTGCCCTATTTTTCCATACATGGCATCAGTTCCAGCAGTTTCGAATGCTATAACCACCTCCGGTTTTATATGAACGTGTAAATGACCATGGCACTCTTTTGCCTGATAGTCTTTAGATTCTAGAGATTCCCATTTCCCAAAGTTGAACGCAAAAAGTTCAACAGGATTTTTGATCTGTTGCTTACAGATATTTTCTACCAAATATGTAGACATGAAGTATCCCAGCACCCAAATCCATAAATTCCTATCGATAACTAAATGCTTGTTCGTTTTATGATTGTTTGGTCTAGTATTCTTGTCATATGTATTGTATGTTCCGGGATGAGAACATATTAGAATTTCACGTACATCATCCTGTTGGAATACACATATCCAACTGTCTTTCCCATCTTCTCCAATGACTATACGTTCTTTCTCCACGTACCAGTTACAATACCGAGGGAAACGAACTTGCTGTGGAGCCATTCCAGCACAAAAAACAGGAGGCTCTTCATGGTTCGAGTTGTGGTTCTTACTAGGACGCTCTAATAAAAATTCGGGATAGTCATGTATAATACGTTCGGGACTCATCACGAATACACTTCAAATTCTCACCTTTAAGAGAGGGGGCTTTCCAGACATTTTTTTTATTACTCTCAGGTGGAGGAGGATACTTACAATCTGAGTGATGCCCGCAATAAATTTTAGAAGGTATAGAGTTCATAGTAGGCTGAATAGGAGCTGGCAGTTTGTATTTTCTCCGAACACTATTTACATAACTCCTTGCAGCCTTTAGTGTATTCGGCAAGTCACCGGACAAATTATATAACATATCAAACCATGTAACGGGGTCCAACTGCATGACATAATCCCATTCTTTTTGGTTATTATTCGGGAGTAACTCAATCCTGTAAGCAACCTGGAAATTACGATTTTCTTTTTTATCCATAAACTCCAGACACTTGTTACCCATCTTAATCAGTCCTTCGGCAAGTATAGTAGGTGGACCAAAAATATCACTGATCATTCCAATTTTTACTAGTGGACTTGACCACCAGCTTATTTCCCGATAAATACAATACCATTCATTGTGGACTTCGTATTCATCATTACACCCTAGTTCCTTTTCAGAAGACATTCTTCCACGTAATTGGTTATGGAAAAATAAAATATTATTAGTATTCGTTATTTTTAATTGGAAATATTTTCTTGTTCATGTTCTGACAGGATTTGATAAATAGAATACCACAAAAATATTTGTTCACAAAGCGAAGCGATACTCTCCAGGTATTTTCATTCCCAAAAATTCTCACGTAGTGGAAGAGCTCTGCTAAATAGAGAAATCATTTTCATACTTGTTATATTTGCCACACTAGTACTTATTGAGAAGTAATGCCGATAAAAATCAGCAATCCGGGATAAACATTCTCAGGAAAATAAAGTAATTACATTATTTTTTTTGTTGATCGATATGAGGCTAATGCAAGCGATTACACAAATTACGGATTAGCATTAATTACACATGCAATAATTTCGAAAAAAGATAAAAACGAAATTAGATCAGTTCCAACATTTGGAGACGTTAAAATATTGCGGACGATATTTATACTGTACATAGCATTGTATTTTATTATCACACCATCACACCTAAATCATGAAATGATATGCTACATATCCATTGTCCACTCATATTCTTCTCCGCAGTCGTCCACTCATATTCTTTCCACGTTATCCCATACGTCATTCCTTCCCCGTCGTCCACTCATATTCTTCCCACGTTATCTTCTACCTTGTGATAACAGCAGTCGATATCCATTTATACAATATCATGTGCCCTTTGGGTCTCCGGATCTATGACTGCGGTTAATTATTTTTCCCGTTTATTTATCTAACCCCTAGGTAGAACCATACATTCGTTATTAAAATAGCAACAATGAATTACGAAAAAAAATTCAAACTAGGGTATAAATCGATGTTTTATAAGGGACAAAGTAATAAAAATATCCAACGTGATTACAGGACACCTTAGGAATACGATATACCGTTTCAAGGCCACAAAAATAACATAACTAGTATCATATCCATTCCTAGAAAAAATTACTAGTGCTTCATTCGCTTTTCATGTTAATATTCCTAATAGTTAAAAGTCATGTGAAGAGACTGTGAGCTGAGTTCACCGATAAATCATGTTAATACGCTACATTCCTACATTCCTGTTGATATTAGAAACTTCAATCACGAAACGTTGGCTATACTAGTTGGTGAAACTGTTAAATGGTAAAGATACGAGAAACAAGTTCAATCACGCTTTAGCGCCTTACAGGGAAAATATTTCAAGATCACATGAGATGAGACCTTCAGGTATCGATATCATATGACCAATATATCGTAGCCTTCGAATTTCATGTTACCCTAACTTTATACGATAACATCACAGCCGGCTATTAGGAATACACTACAACACATTGCAAATATGACACTCGTTCACAAAAAAATACATATAGCGTAGTTTATTTTTTATTAATACCCGTTATAAAATGCCTGAAGGGGATTCTCAAAGGAATGTGTAGAATAAGTTCGGGACCTGGCCCATGATTTATATTATTCCAAAAATACAGTAAATACGTTAAAGGAAAATCGTTACTTAATAGGAGAATAGGGAGAATTATCGACAATAATAAACTATCAGAATATTTACCTGAGAGATAATATGTTCTGTAAAAATTAATAGTTGCTTCATCGATGGAGAAAAATGGATTCTACTGATTTCCAACGCTACTTATTATCATTGTGGGTATTTTTTATGATATTATTATACTAACACCCTTAAGACCTCCTTATTTTTTTGTATACATTTTGCGTCTTACTGCGCAATTACGTTTTTTATTCATTCGTATATAACATGCTAGTCTCTACATACGAATTCTTTCCCCAGACTAATCTCAGATTCCAATTTTTCCACACATGATTAACGAAATTTCTCTTAACTGTCGATTTCTTAAGACCATCAATTTGTTACACTGTGATAAAAAACAATACCAAACATTTATAACTTATGTAACCTACCTTGTGAAATCTTCTTACTTGAAACATTGCTTTCAAATGTAATAGTTTCTTCTTTCCGAATCTCTATTTTGTCATCGTTATTTGTTGATCACACTAGTCGTCATACATCTTCCTTATAATAAGCGTACACCTTGGGTATAGTATGAGCTATTTTTCGCATTACGACATTAACTAAGAACTTCCTTATCAATAATCTCTTCAACTGTGATCGTATATGTGATAATAGTGTTCAGCTACTCTACTGATTAAGTCCCATAAAATTAATAATTACATAATATATGTGATCAGATAACATTTAAATAGTACTTTTGTACGAATAATCGCATTCCATGCACAAATATTTTTACTAATTATTCGTATATAATCATATGTTGAATTGCCCATCAGACATAGTATAATGCATTTCAATTATCCGATATCATCGATCAATTAACTAAATATAATAAAATGCATTAATTCGACAAATAATAGTAGACACATAAAATATGGGCGAAGCCTACGAAGTAAATACCTGGTGGTCAAATTGATATATCCTTCCCATATCATTGCACTCAAGTAGGGATAGTTAGTTATATTATACGGTGGTGATCAGTCGGAGACTGCTCGAAGAGCAAAATTATTTGGAATGACGAATGTGTGAAAAAGGCCATAATAGGCAGTTATTTATACGTTTTTTACGTATTTTGCCTCTTTCTTTTTCCAGTGGAACCCGAAGGAAAAAATATGCTCACCACTGTATATACCATATAGTCCCATCGATTACAAAAGTATTATCGTATCATCATTATATCTCTTGTCTGAATCTTTTTTCATTCATGTGGGTCACTAGTGTAGTTAAATAGCAAGCGGAATATTTTTTGTATTTTTGTTAATAACGTTTGCAAAGTAGAACAATATACAGATTATACAATAATAGGACCACATACTTGAAATACCAATAGCGCATGGTAGTTTATTATACGGTTGACATTTTAGTATATTCAACACTTTTACAGAGTAAACTTCATATCTACTAAGTGATGTACTATATGTTAGTACGAGATTAACAGAGAAAAAATAATGCTTGAAGGAATTAATTTACGTTTATCTGTTAGTAGTTCATTATTGGGTATGAATTATAGAAAAATCTTTTTGCATCGCTACTTGCTAAAATAAAAATGACAGCCTCATGTTTTGTCGGAAATTGCAAAGCTCCCCCTGTTACATACAGAGTCTGTTCTTGGTAATCGAAACTAAATGCAGTTCTACTTAAAGTGTTCTATTGTTTACGATTGCAGAGCACATAACAAAAAGTATTCGGTCCGCAACATTTTTATTTTTTGTATTGAAATAAAACTATCCGGAAATAGAAATGTTCAACGCAGTCGTTGCATGATTTACTTTGTTAGAATCTCGTACAAGCTTTTTGTGGAAAGAAATTAACCATAAATGATAAATTAGATGTCGTGTCGAGAATAAAATGGCACACTGTGTAACGAGAAATAAAGCTATTTTCCATAAAAGGAACCTATTAAATTATACTATATTGCTGATGAGCCTTATTAGGGGGTCGTCTAAAGCCGGGTTCGATCACGTGATTTATAGATCGGCGGACTGGTCCGGAAAGCCACGCAAATAAAATTGTGTAACGCTTTTTTTATTTTTATTTTTATTTCTATTTTTAATTTTTTTTTTTATAGTTTTCTTTTATTTATATTATTAATTTTTTAAAATTTTTTTTTTCGAAAGTAAAATTTTTTATTGCTATTTTAAAGGCTTTTTTTAAAGATTTTTTGGATCATATATACAATGATAAAAAAACTTTATTACGTTTTATCTTTCTATTGAACTTTAAATTGGAATATTTAAGACAGGTTCCAAACGATTTTTTAATTCACTAATAAATGCGCCGGTTTTTTTCTTATCGCCCCTTTCTTCAACCCTCCAATATATATCACGTATTCTTTCTGTTAACTCACTTACTGCTAGCCGTCTATTCTCCATTGCTTTTTCAGCTTCAGTCATTTTAAAAACTGGCACCTCCAAATCAACTAATTCACGATGTATATATATCTCAAACCCAGACTCATCAAACATTTGTTGAAATTTCTTCCATACATCGGGTATTAACAGCTTCATAGTACCATACATATTTTCGTGAAATATGTGACGGCAAGGTAACAAGTATCGATGGAAAAATAAACAGTTACAATTTAGAGATGTAAGTCCAGGCGCTGCTTTACCTTTTTCAATTCGTCCCTCAACAGCACAAAATTCATTAATGAGCATTTGTTGAACAGGGAACGGGAATTTATGAATTTCATCAAGAATCTCATCATCAATACCAATAGCCGAAATTTTTTTAGTGCGAAATTCATAAGCAACATGCTCTGAATCAGCACGTTTTTTTTTATCAAGTGCAACTATCTTTTGGCATGCACCTGATAAATATTATTGAAATTTTTGATCAGAATTTGTGAGAAACAAGTGAAACTCTTAATAAAAACAACATACCAATTAAACCATGTTGTGGAGAAGTTGTTCTTTTTAATTCACTGTGGTATGATTCTAGAGAATTTGTTGATGTAACCTGTAAAAGAAGAGGAGAATGTTGGCGTGCCCAGAGCGCCTACTGGTGTGTATTCTTTACATAGTTTCTCATAATATATTTCTTGATGGTTGAATTTGAACATTCATTTAATGCTTCTTGAACAATATTTTCACACCCAATCCTAGTCCTTTTGTGCATAGCATGAATCATTTTTTGTCTTATCTTTTTATCATAGATTTTATTCATCCAGACTCTCACGATATGCACTGTGCAAAAAAAGACTTCACACTCCTGCTCACCGTTTTTAAGTCCTGGAAAGGCCATCTTAATACTATTAGATTCTATATTACTCTGATCAGAGAGAAAATATCTTGGATTCCAACGACGTGCAAATCGCCTAATTATTTTTAAACCCTCTGCAACAGTATCACTGTTTTCATTACTTACAAAGAAGTGAGCCCCAACATCCCAACATCCATAATAATTACGAATATATAAGGTAAACAAACGACAATCATACTTATTAGTTTTGTGTGTAGAATCTATAAGGGTTAACCATCCGTGTTGCTCAAGATTTTTGATATGGTCTGGGTGTATAAAAACAAAACCGTAGGTGGATAAGTGAGGAATTTCATAATAATTGACCAAGTATTCTTCTTTTTCTAGAAAAGAAATAGCCTCTCGAATATCCAATTCTTGTTTAGGATTACCAATAAGATGTGCATCAAGAGATCCATGTATTTTATATTTTATGTTCGTAACCTCCTTCCTTCTTAACTCCTTTACACTTTCTCCTAAATCTAGCTTGTCAGTTGCATACTCCTTTACCGCACTAACAATTTCTGGTGGTCTATAATTCTTCACAGCTTCTTGTATAACTAAATCTCGAACAATTTGTGAACGCTTAAGCCTTTCGCTTTCTTCTAAAGCATGTGAATGGTCAGGTGAGTCTTGAAACCGTTCAATACGTACTTTTTGTTCAGAAATATAACGTTGAACCTTGATCTTTGCAGAACACATATTAGCCGGCCGAATTTTTGTTATACGACGTTTCTTACTTGAAACACCTTCTTTTCGGGTGCTTGATTTATTAGGTTTACTAAATCGACAGATAAAAACTTTCCATGAATCTCCATTAACATTATTTTTATAGCTAAACCTAGTCCATACATTTGACACGAGAGGCCACCACTCCTTATCAAATTCTTCTATTGAAAGTTCAAGTGGTTGATTAACATTGAAAAGAAGATGGCGTTTTTGATTAGGGGTTAAAGTTTCAGATATAGGTATGTTTATTTTATTAGAAGCAAATGGAGTCATTGAATATATAAATTGCGTGAATATTATTAAAAAAATTTGGAGAAAAGAAACCTAAATAAAAGAAAAAGAAACTTTAAAGAAAAATAATTCGAAGTTAAGCTATAAACTAAAATATTTTATAAAAATTTGTAAAAGGCGTGTTGTTTTGTTTTTATTTTTTTTTATTCCAAAGGAAAAAAAATAAAAATAAAAATAGAAATAAAAATAAAAATAAAAAAAGCGTTACACAATTTTATTTGCGTGGCTTTCCGGACCAGTCCGCCGATCTATAAATCACGTGATCGAACCCGGCTTTAGACGACCCCCTTATTAGGCAGTTAGTTATTTGTATTACATTTCTCATTACATATATTCCCTGTTTTGTTAATAAAAAAGATTATCGCAGTTTCATTATACGAAATAAGGCAGCTGTGACCTTGGTGTCACGGTCTCGTTGTTGGGAAAAAATAAGTTGCGCATAACACGTCAAACGACAAAAAGTTTAATCGACCACAAGGAAAAAAATTTTAATTGTTTTCGAAATGGATAAATTTCGTGGACCAGAGATGTATATTGCAATATGCGTAGATATACTTTTAGTTACAACCATTAGTTTATACATATTATCTATTTCGAGATTCTGAATTTCTGCGCATGGTTAACGAATTTTCTTCTTATCAAACTAGTTAAAATAATAGATATATTATAATTCGAACACTCGCAACAATCATATATTATTTCGTAAAAATATCTCACAAAGTATCTGTAAATGAACATATACCATTAAAATAGAAAGTGAATATGGAAAGAAACTATCAACTGTCTTTTCTGACTAGAAATATCAGACACATGAGAAAGTTCGCTTTTTTTCTGACCGTCTTGCCGCTCAACCACGCTCCAAAGGTCTTAGGAAATGCCTGAAGGGCATTGCGAAGCAATGTGTTCCTAATGGCTCTGCCCAAAATATTTTCTTCATGCATTATATCGTCAGACCTTGTCTTACAGATAATCGTATTGGCCCACCAAGATGTAGGCATGTAGTTATACAATAAGTAAAGGGAGATCAGAATAACACGTATTGTTACATTATACTTATTCCAGGTATGAAACACGCATTAAGTTTATTGATTAATATATGATACCGAGAGTTAATCATTTCATATTATTAGATTCTTACGCACTACAAAATTAGAAATGATAGGTATATTATGGTAACATACCGTATATTCTCTCCTAAACACTTCCTTTATACCACATCGTATCAGTTGTTCGATTTTTTTATTTGAACTAAAGTGACCTTTACTAAAGAATGGGAAACGAAACAGATAAATATCGCTCTTCAACGTCACAAAAACAACATAATTTATCGGTTGAGGAAGTATATAACAAAGAGGAGCTATTTACGAAATTGGTAGTTAAGGATCACAATGCAGACATGTATAGGGCTTTTCATTCACGTGAAGAGTTTTGGAAGTTCTACGATAATGTAACCGAACCTCTAAGATCCTTTTCCGAAGTAGTGTACGGAGACCTACCCCAATTCCCTAGGATACATGTAGAGTTTGGTTCTCTTAATAAGCTTCCTGGAACGAAAATAGTTAACTTGCTAAGGCAAATTCTTGATGGGATGCTAGTCGTGTTTCGCATTAGGTATAGTGGAATAACGAATGTACCTAAGTCTCCGAAAGATTTTGTCATCATGGATGAATACGGTCAGAATAGGCATGGTTACTGGACAAACGATTTTCACATACAAGCCACATCGTTTACTTTTACAGACTATAAAGAGGCTAAGGAGTTCACTTACCATGTTCGTTCAAGTTTGCCTGTAGAGGTTGGACGATTTATTAGTCTACAATACAATGACCCTATTCAGCTAGTCCCCATATTTGGTTCTACGTGTCCTAAGGAATCCTTACACAAGAACATTTCTCGTTTTAGTCCATTCTTAGGAACAAACGTTGATATTCACAAGAACGAATTATTCGTTAAAAAGTTTCCGGACTTGGATTGCATTGTTCCTTCTACCCCAATAGCCGACAGGAACACAAAAAATATTTGCGACCAATCTACAAACAGTGTACGAAGTATTTCACCTAATACACATGAAAACACAAACATTAAAGATCCTCACAATGCAGTTAGTTACCATGAAAATGGCTTTGATCAACGAACTTCTTCATCTGTGGAGCAAGTATCACAAAACGAGACTCCTCGTGACGATGAGCAGCCAGAGAATACATATTCCAGCGAGACTCCAAGGGAAGGATCCATTACAACGTTGTCAACGAAAAAGAATCCGCCTTCGACTAATAAACAATACGCCACTGCGATAAACTGTTTGGTTATGTTTTTCTTTATTGTGAATAAGATCAAACCAGATGCCACACGACAAATGCAGGGTAGAACACGTGTCACTAAAGAAAAGAAGGAAAAGAGGCATATTTTACAGGGGCAACCGAATCAACTCCAACATAATAGAAGTGTAAAAAATGGAAAGGGTCTTGGTCGCTCCACTTCCCATAAAACCAAATGTTTTATAATTCGAGAGGAAGTCCTAGAAACTACGTTTCTAGTTTGGAAGGTCTCTTGGACTAATTTTCTTCATTCCTCAAAAAATCATGGAGATTCCTAATATACGTCTTGTTATTATTTCTACAGTAATATACTTGTATATGGATAGTAAAAAAAGGAATAAAAAAGCGTGGTTGAGCAGCAAGACGCTCAGATGGAGGATTCATAATAATCCATACATTCGGCCTGGAGATTGTCTACATAAAAACGAAATGACCAACTGGGAAACAATTATAGTTTCCATGATTGCACTTGATTGTGATGTTATTTGTATGCAGAGTACTAACAAAGCAAGATCATATGGATGCGTGCCTCACAAGGTCATAGCAATTACACCACCGTGCCAATCATATCAATTCAATCCTCCATGAAAAAAGATGCCAACAGATACATGAAATAAATTCTCTGTTTATGGGTGTAAAGTAACAATTGACACGAGTAACAAATGTTGGATCAATGAAATGGGGTGATATCGAGTATTCAAAAAATGGAGGAGAATCTTTTATGCAAAAAATAGGGGGTTTTTGTGTCTACAACGGAACAGAATATTTTTTTGTTTTACATATACTGGATAATCAATTACTACGTCTAACGTAGTTATACATTCTGAATGACGAATGTAATTGGAGTTAGTTATAGCGAATAATGGTAATACCAGTTAGATAAAATTATGCCCAAAATAATTACGAAAATATTTTGATATCAGATATGGTTATTTAGTGAACACAACAGAGAGTGGATGTGTTCTATCATCGAAGAAACAGTAGGACATACAGTAATATTCCTCGATTACAGGGGATGAAGTATTTAGTCCGTAGGACCTTCAAAGAAGTGAATAATCGAAAGGGAGCGACTAGTGATGTTTGATCGCAGAAGATAACGGAGGACAAAAAATAATTTGATCATAGACACGTGAAACGTCCTTTTGATATAGTTATTTGGAATTCGAACATTGTTTCTCCTTCCTACATAAGTATGTCCATAGTGTATATAATTGGATAGAAGTTATATGAAACAGGAATCCTGGTCTACTTCGTAAAGTACTGTACAACTAACTCCGATTATTGTTTCTTTCTAAGCACAGCCTCACTAAAAATAGTCACATCTGTTGAAGTAATAGTTACATATTTAGGTAACGTTAGTTATTTTTTTTACTATACTTGTTATTCCACGTTATTAGTTTTTACTTTTCTTTGCTTGGAGTATTGCGAAATGATGTATAAATCACATTTTAACGATTGATTATGTTTATAACAACTATTGTTCCATGTTTTTCCACAAAGGATTATATCGGATATCGTTTTGAATTTTGTATGACATATCATTGGTTAGTTTCTGATAGCGTATGAGTGTTCCAACATATAATAAAAAAATAATACATACAGAGGCATCATTTCTGATGTTACTGATGAAATGATTCGAAAGAAGAGTATATGTATTTCTGTATTCTCGACCTCGCTTATTTTTCATTAACCTAATATCAATTTCTGTGATTGAATAATAAACAAATTGTATACGAAATGTTCTTCTCAATTTACCCTGTAAGGCGCTAAAGCGTGAGGAACAAAGAATTTTGAAAGATAGATTCGCTTCACAAATATAGGTGACAAGAGTGTAACTGCACAAAGTCACGCTCAGATGGCAGGAACAACAAATGATCGTTATCGATAACAACATCAACATAACAAGTGACGATTGTTTAGTGGAACTGAACAGAACTAATTTATCATGATGACAACACTAAATAAATTAACTGTTATCATAAGAACTTCAATCTAATAAAATTACCTGGCGGGTACGAAGTGGAGGTTTTAAGATGTATTCTCCTGGTGGTCACAGTCTTCTTGTTTTATTACGTAATCGAAGGAAAATACTATATTACAATGCTTTGTGGTAATGAAATAATTGGTAGCAGATACTGAGGGCATGTATGGATCAACGAATCCCAAGTTAATAAGTATTGATATTGATGAGATTAAGTCGATTCGATAACATCACTATGTTGACTAGTATGAATGACCGGTGTAGTGCTACTATAAACTAATTTCAAGGACTTCCTGGGAAGGTCTAGATTCTGTTCTCAATGGCAAAGCCATTTCCTTTTCATTTTGTAATCCGAAGAGCTGGCCAATGGTACGATGATGCAATGCATTAGTAAACTGGCTGTTTTTTATACACCTTGTCTATTAATCATCTACATGAGCGTCTTGCCCTATGAACCTAGGTTCCTAGAACCTCCTCTGTTAACAGCGTGGTTGAGCGGCAAGACGGTCAGCTCAAAGGTCTTATGATATGTGTTCCTAATTGTATACGAATAGTAAAAAATGGTGATTGAAAACTAAGTCACATGGCGTAAAAACTATTGGTGTACTGGATAACGTTCCCTTGTCTAACTAATACTAGAAATCTTACAGAATAATACTTTGGGGTGATTATGACATAGTAACACGTGAACTGTTGTTCTCATGTTAATCAAAACGAGAATCATTAATATGTTTGTAACGCAATAAATTGTGGATTTAGTCCGAAGATCATACGCATTGTAAAAACAAAATAATTGCAGTTTTTTTTTGTAGACACGACTTAAAAAATATTCTACAGTTATTTATTAGTTAAGAGAAATATGATAATTATTCCCCTGCATTACAATATACATACGATTTATCATGTAACCTAATAATGCGGACAAATATTAACTGCTAATTCACAAGCCGAATATAAAATCTGCGTCCCATTTATTGGGCACCTCGGCCATATCTGATAGTCAGCCATATGTGTAAATATTTTCCGAATTTTTTGTAATACATTCGGTGTTTCATATCGGTATCCAAATAAACCCTAAAAAAGGAAAAACGATATCATAGTGAGTGGACAAGATTCCATGAATAGGTAAATTACGATTATGTCTAAGACTATTTTGGTAACTGTTATTCTAAGTTCGCATACAACTTTTGTGGAACTAACTATTTCTTCGAAATTAGGTAATACGATATACTTATCACTAAGGATTCGCTCCACGATCTATTGTCTTCAAAAGTAGATTGTCTTGCTGTGTGACTATTCATAATCGTCATAATTTGGAATGATAATTTCCCGTATACATCTTCTCAAATATTAGTCTAGTAGTTTTTTTCAGACAAAAAAAATTTATAACGTAATTGAACAAAGAAAAATCCTTAGTATGAAATCAAGCTGCGCAGCTGTTCCATTTGGAACTGATTTCTTCTCGTATGTGATGCTTCTTGTCATAGACGTTTTGACTGGTCACTCAAAGATGGGGCTTGCCACATCGGACTTGAGGAACTCAAGGCAGTATAATTGGCCAAGGTAGATGGGTATATCTCGCCTAGTTATTACTGTAAGGATCGGTCAATTTCGAGAACATCTAAATTACGGGACTAAAGGTAAGTTTAGTCATACAATTTTAATCATACAATTTTAGTCATACATTTTTAGTCATACATTTTTAGTTATTACATTTTAGTTGATCATTTTCGTTATACATTTTTAGTCATAGAATGTGTGTCCCGAAAAACCATAATTTGGCGATCCTATAACTGTTATACCGGTCACTTACAGTTTAGTATTTCTAAGTTATGGTCGGCCTCTTGGCAAAGGCGCCTTGTCGAGAAGCTAATGGGTAAATGGATTTTGCACCAGCTCATACCTAGGTATTTTTGTGAGAAACAGGAGGGTAATAATTTTTTTTTTGTCTCCTGCGTTATTGATCGAATACGGTTTTTATAATAGTCCGGGATATCATTAGCCGAAAAAAATAATTTGTACCAGTGTTATCATATGACAAAATATAGTTACACCGTAATGAATATGTTAACTGTGACCCCTTGGGTCACGGTCTCTTTGTTCTGCTATTAGTTATTCATCACTAATCGCATTTGGGTTGATACATTGTCTCTTCTCTTTAATCACCGATGATCCATCAACAATAGAAAAAATCGAAAAACTGTATTATCGGCAAATTTCCAATGGACGTTATTCCTTTGCTGTAATGTCTTGCAACAATAATTTTCTCCATGATGATCCGGTAAAATACTTCTTCCTAAGATATAACCGCAACACTGATCACATGATACCCTTAACAAATGTTCAGAGTGTCATGTGCATTGATCCCGTGATATGTATATTCTATCCTAATCGAACATTCTTTTTCTCTTGTGTAACAACGATAAATTTCCACGATTACTGAGGTTAACGAAAAAATTGCCAACAAGCTACCTAACCTGTTCTCGAGAAACTTACTTCCTGAAAATTAATGTTTCGCATTTTGTCCAGTGATTACATAATCAAACATTACTTTACCGGGATAATTAACTCCAAAAGGGATCTGAATCATCGACACAAGTAATCACGTAAATGGTTTATATAGGATACAAACGAATAAACAAACATTATAACTAGATCATGAGCTGCCGCTTTACAAAATAAATATTTCTGCGGAGATAGGATCACGTTACATTCTATGCCATAGAAAAGAGTATCACATGATTCCTTCATAGGAAGGGTAGAACAAAATAGCACTGAATCCGCTACTACTAGTAACTCTATTGACTAGTTTACTGATTTGATGCTATAAGTGGGAAGCTTTGATCCTTTATTTGTCTTATTTTCATCTTGTGATATTTATATGAACATTGTAATACGATCACTCCGCCGAAGAACGTAAAAAATGTTGTATTAATCTGTCACGCAGCATTGGGTATCCATGGATTCGATTTTTTCTACATGTTATAGACAAAGTAACACTTAAGATTGAATGTAATCATTACCAATGTCAACAAATTACAATCTGTTTAATATCGATACGGTTAAATCAAATATTTACGCTCTTTGTAAGCATGTAATAAAAATTGCTCTTCACATAATAGTTAGTCCATTGTGGTTTATTAAAATAAATGTCAAATGAGCTTCTTGCTATATACATAATAAATTACATTTTCCGTGTTTCTGTTATCTATGAACACATGACATAGGACCCTTAGGGATCGATTTCATATGACATTGGACAAAATTCACACGTCATATTTCTGTTCATTACCCACCTGTAATTGTGATCACGAAATACATAAAAAAAAATCGGTCAGTATCTATTGTTGGATGATATGAAAACATATGATGATAGCGAGATGTATTTTACCTTCTTAGTGTCACGTTGATTCATATCCTATGCATCTTTCCGAATATCTTGGATCAACGAATGGTTACATTTTTTTTTGCAGATGTATTTTAATGCGAACTTTATTCCAAGTAAGTTTTTTCTCTAGCCAAGGAAAGACACTAATATCAACAATATCATCCATAAACACGTATTTACATTATTTTGGGTGTAGCCCAGTCTCCGACCCTATGAACCCAGGTTCCTAGAACCTCCTTATTGAACTAGCGTGGTTGAGCGGCAAGACGGTCATATTATTGTCCATGTTCCGGTAAACCACACATTATAATAAATAATCGTTATTCAAATAAACTCCTTATACTACAAAAGAATTAAATGTTTCCACAGACTCGCATATTCCATCGAAAGTATAACGTTAAAAATAATTACCGTCTACGAAATGCCATTTCTCGTTTTTTCCTTCTTATTGTGACATTTCCACAGACTGAGTCCGCTGGTTGCTTTTTTAGACAAGACACCACACATTATAAGTCATATTCTTCACCAAAAGCAGCATTGGAAATAACTCCTAAATGCTTGATTGTGTAATCAATACGTCAAATTTTTTCTTCATCAGCTACTTTGAATTACAGATTTAGTGAAATTCCTTTTCCGATAACAGACAAGTTTTGACCATACGGATACATGAGTGGATGATAACTGAAATATATTCACAGCGAATCGCTCAATGGCCCTTCCCATATTGCTTAGTCTGAGTTCATAATACGGTGTAACAAGCTCGTCATCATCATCTATGTTATGAATTCCTTTTCATAAATAAGTAAAATACTTGTATTAGTTATGTTGTCTCAAAAGAATGCTGCGATCAAGATAATATACAAAAAAGTCTTACTTGGTGTAGATTCTGGTATGTCTGTTATTCACACATCTTCTGCGCATATTTTGAATACCCTTCTCAAGTCTTTTTATTTTGTACGAGGACAACGAACTTTTTTCTCTTTACATTTGTGATGTTCGCAAGAACTGTTGCAAGCCCCCCAACTCCACTCCATTTAGTTCAAAATCACTCGTGTATCTTGAGAAATCTTGACTTAGCTTGCGAATTAATTTCAAGTCATCTCGTCGAGTTGTAACTCTTCTTCTTTACGTAAAAAATCCATAGTAGTATTTTCTTAATCTTTTTCGCTAACGCAAGCATCTCAGTCAAACTTGTTGTGTGAACATAAAACGTTTTAGCTTAAACGAATAAAAACAAGTTGGAGTGAGATAAACGGGTTTGGAAGAAAAAAAGAATATCTGTAAAACGAAAGTTGTACAGACCTGATAATTGTTAATTCAAGTTGTAAGCAGCCATACCTTCGCATCATCACACATGAAGGGCTAATTGTTCAGAAAAGTAGTCACGTAATGGTAATTGATATACATTCTATATTTCGTGTAAGCTAAGCCACAAAGCATAGTTATCGCTTGCATACAAGTTATTAAAAGTGATTAAGTGAGAACCTGCACAAACCGAAGAGAATAAAATATGACTCTCTGGAACAGAATACATAACAGAAGACACTTAAAACTAGACGCCATACCAATAAGCTAGTACAATACTTACTGTAAATGTGGAATCATTTCATGTTTGCAATTTCAGGGCTCCATCAGAAACTATTCTATGAATAAATACTCTGATCCTATTTGTTAACTTTTCTATCTGTCGAACTCCGAAATTTTACTGAATCACCCATGGGATACTCCTGGTTCCAGTAACATCGCAAATCTATATAGTTTCCGTATACGTTAAGTTTCTAATAATAGTACGAGAATTACTCCAAGTAAATATTCTTATTATATATTGCATTCATCGAACACAGTACATATGTTCGCTTTGAGAGAAACATTGATTATAAAAACTGCTCGACTACCATGTGTTGGCTTATCACGAATGAAAAGTTTACCCGAAAAAAAATGTTAATATAAAAAGGCGAAATAGTTGTACATATGATACGTTACATAAATGATATTTTTATCTGTCCCACCACAAGTAATATTCGTATTTTTTGTACCACTGTATACAATAGAAATGTCTTATCAACTGATTATTTTTCTATTTTTCGAGTTGCTTCTTTCTCTGTAGTTAAAATCTCAGGACATTTGTTGTAAACATAACTCCCACGACCAAATAAAAGAGAAATATAGCATTATTTATTACCTAGTGTCGCAGTGGAAACTATTATTTATTCACTTTCAACTTTAGATTTCGTATAAAATAGTGCTAAAGAATATACACTTCATTTCTCTTGTTCTATATCAATACAAAAATACTGTTTGCTCTTATTTTTGGTTTAGAAATATCTCTCCACTCTCTTTCATATGAATAATACCTGACGTTCGAAAAACTTCAGTAACTTGGAACATCGGAGAGCTCAATCCTTGTAACTGCGCCATAACTGCGCCATAAAATCCAAATAAAAGGAAAACAGGGCGATATTTATACAAAATGGTTTTTTTTTTAACGCTACACGACAGACAAATTCCTTCTAACAAGAACACTCCACTGGAACATTCCTTGCATATTTGTATAATGTTACGCCAATACGCCGATTAGGAAGAGTATTATGCCGATAGGTTGAATAGATTATTAAGGGACAAGATAATTAACCAATACTACTCTCACGATCTCATTAACCGCAAGATTATTGGCTCTGGAGGATCTGCTTCTGTTTATGTTACAAATTGGAAGAATACGTCAACAATATATGCGATTAAAAAATATGTAGATAACAAAGAGGTAAATCACCAATAATATTCTTAATCATATTCTTAATCATATTCTTATTTATAAATCATTCATAGATTATTTTCTTTCTAGGCGTTTTTAACGATTAGGGCTAATTCTCATGAAAATATCATTCAATTTCGTGGAGTCACAAAATTAAAAGGTAGAGTAAAGTAACGATTACATGTGCCTAAATTTTAGTATTTTGTTAACGTGTTGTGACTTCTTAGGTGAAAAAAAATATTCGCTTGTTCTTGAATATGCAGATGGTGGAACATTAAAGGATTATTTAAGAAACAGTGTTATTGAATGGAAGAATCAATTAAGGCTTGCAAGAGAGATTGCAAGTGCGGTTTTATGGTTACATGATGAAAAGGGAATCATACATGGTGATCTTGTAAGTACATTCCCGTTGTTTAAAATTATATGGAGGAACTAGGCCATTAATTAACATATCTTTTTTTAGCACCCAAAAAATGTCTTAATACACAAAGGTACAATAAAATTAGCTGATTTTGGGTGTTCATATCTAAAAGAATCAGATGACAACACCAGAGCACATGGCGTGACACCTTATATGGACCCTAAATTTTTTGAGAATCCTTCGTATCGAATAACAGAAAAATCTGATATATACAGCTTAGGAGTATTATTCTGGGAGTTAACAAGTCGAAAATCGCCTTATAAATATAAGACAGGAGACGATTGTGCTCTTAGGTTCCATATCCTCCATGGTTTAAGAGAAGAACCTATACATAACACGAATGTTTTGTTTGTTAGATTATATCAAAGTAAGCATAAAATAGGGACAATGCTTTACCGCAACATTTTTTCACAATCTATTTTTACTTTGTTTTATTAGAATGCTGGGAACACGAACCAGATAATAGACCGAAAATCCACCAAGTAATTTCGGAACTTAATTCTATTAACCTTGAAAACAATAATGTATCAACTCCCGAAGAAAGCGAAGAAAGTGAAGAAAGCGGAAAAACGGAGGATTTATGCTTGTCAGATAGTGATTGAATATGCATTGTTACGAATTTAGATTATTTATATGCTACTTTTAGGGTTTTATTCTTTTTGTTTGTAATTTTTACACGAACATTTTATTTCTATAAACGAAAATATAGATAGATTTTTTTACGTAATACATAAAATTTTGATGCAATTTCCAACAAAGGGAAGTATAGTATTTCAAGTGGCACTCAACAACTTAGCCTATCCTTAGAATTACATGGCGTTCATTGTCTACTGGTGTAACTGGATAAGATCCATGTGAATTATCTAACAATTTTTTGGTTATGGAGTGTCATTCCCTTTATATCCTGCAAATAAGATCTGTATAAAACGTATGGTTCGCCTGTCTTGTATCCAATCCAATGATATATTCGAGTCTGGATGGGAATTACTACAAAAATTGTCGTAATTTATTACAAAAGTCTTCATCCAAAGCAGACTTCTAAAATGTTCGTTAATGAAGAGATCAGAGAACATCTTTCTGAAAAATGACAGAAGACTTGCTTCGAAAAAGCACGCAAGATTAGTAAATCAAATCGAAGTCGTCCACTAATATTTATCCCCGCAGTAAACAGAACCACGTGATACTCTGAACAATGTGTAGAGTGTCATGTGTTCTCCGCAGTAGATAACTATGGTATTGTCCAATGTATAAATATCATATGTGTAACAAGTTATGCGAAAATATTACCTATTTATGTAAATAAAAAACGAGTAAAATGCAACGTGTAACATTTTTGCATTGTGTCAGGGACTGTGGTAACGCAGTGGCCAGAATTACGTAAGATCAACTATTCTTCAACCGTCTGGCCAAAATAATGTCAGCTAACATTACGCCAAAAATCTAAAAATGGCCACTGCCGATTCTGTGAAAGTGTGAAACGCAGAAAATCATCTCCCTGCATTGTGCATTAAGGGTAGTCTGTTACGCAAATACTATCTTCTTATACCATCAGGTGCTATTTTCTTATACCACCTTATATTATGCGGTCAAGATCGACATGCATATGGTATAAGAACGATACATTTGCGTCTGTTACAGTTACCATTTTCCTTATTATGGAAGATTATCATTACACGGAATGCTAATAATAGTTTTGTTACTAACTGCAAACATCTCAACCAAAATTAGTGTTCCGGCTATTTTGAAGTTCTTTCACATGTTAATTTTTTGGAGTCATATACAGAACTTACAGTATTAATCTCTATATACGAGTTTGTTACCTTCGGATTCCAATTTTTCTACACATGGAACGAATTTTCTTTATTTATCCAATTCGATAGCGACATCTACACTGTTACGTAATAAGAAACTGGAACAAATTTCTCATAATCAAAATTTTGAAGAAGCGAAGTCTAGGAATCCTCTCAATAAAATGTCTACTGCATAAAAGGTTTACAATCCAACTCCATTCTTATGTAATTTTTTGTTTTCATTGGGTATCGAAAAAGCTATGGTGTTATTCTTGCATTACAAAAGGAATAAATATTACGTTTTATTTCCACTGACTGTTTGTGCCACTCAACGAGTGGGGTAACTATAACGTCATCATTGAAAAGTTTCACATGATTACAATTAACTGCATAACATCATATCAGTAATCCAGATTTTTTAGTTCTTCATGTAATGTCCCACCCATATATTCAGTGTTGGGCAATTGGACAATTGGACGTTTTGGACATTTGTCCAAAACCTGTCCAAAACTTGTCCAAACCCAAAACCTTTTTTTCATTGGACAGGTTTTGGACAGATCACATGACAAAAAATTTAATTTTGGCCAGAATTATGACTAATTTTGGCTAATTTTAATTTTAGTTCAATTATTAAATTACTTCAAAAATCTTTAAATATTAATTTTTAATATTATTTGATTTTACATTAATTTTTATCATTTAATTAATATTAAATATTTACTTTTTTAACATATTTTTATTTTATTTTTAGTTTCAGTTGATGAATATTAGGACTCTTGAGCAGTTTTAAACTGTCCAAAACTATGTCCAAAACTATGTTCAAAACTGGTTTTGGACAGTCCAAAATTGTCCAATTAAAAAAACCAATTGGACAAGTCCAAAACCCAACACTGCATATATTTACTATTGTTACCCTAAAAACTATTACGCATGCCTACTTTTATTTGATAGAGAAGTAGAACGGTTTATTTTCGAAGAAATTAAGCCGACTACAAATGGAATAGGTAACAATATCAACTGCGGAGAAGAATATTAGTGGACTACATGAGAGATTACGTCAACTTCCACGTATATTCTCTATTGCGCAGTAACACGTGATTTTACTGTGAAATATTAGTAAGAATATAAGGCATACACACGTAGTACAATAGTAATTTGCTCAACAACGAGACCGTGACCCATGGGTCACAGTTGTCTAGAATAGAAATTCCATAAAAGTGTGGTCATTACTTAAAAGTTATTTTATTTAGACTAACAAATAATAACTAGCTACTTGTAATGTATACTCGTAACGTTGTACATACTACAACATTAAAGAATTTAGATGCAGGGGTATTACACAGTCAGATAAATGCTATTCACAAGGAATATAACTTTTCCAACTCTCGTTAAATTATATTTCTTCCGTTGTCAATTGAGTTGGGCCATTTGTTGTAATTTACCTTCTACAGTACATTTCAAAAAAAAAGAACTGAAGTTCTAAACCTAGCTAATAACTTATTGTTTTAGCATCACTGTGTAAAGTATTACCTATCACTCCAGCTCAAGAAAACGGTAAAAAACATATATTCGTATTTATTCCTTTTATTTTAAGACAATACAAAAACATTTTTAAGGAGACATTTTTTGACAGGACAAGAAACTGCGCCACATTTAACGACAAGAAACTGCGCCACATTTAACATCAAGCCGTATTTATATCAAAATGGTTTTTTTTTACCCCAAGAAACTAATTTGCTAAACTTCCATATATGGGGGGGGTTAAAATTTTTGCTTTTACTATTATACGAATATATCTATACAACGCCAATGTGCATATATCTATACAAACGCCCAATTACCTCATTATAGTCACAAATCAAAGATTGTTATGGCAATAGAATAAAGGTGTTACTGGAAAACAAAGCGATTGGCTACTATGACTCTCAGCACCTTATTTGTTATGATGTTATCGGCTCTGGAGGATCCGCTTCTGTTTACGCCGCAAATTGGAAGAATACGTCAACAGTATATGCAATCAAAACGTTTGTCAGCAACGAAGAGGTGTGTTACTGATAACTGTTTTTTTATATAACTATAAATTATACAAAGCTTATTTCATTTCTAGGTTTATTTAACGCACTTGGCGGATGGACATCAGAATATTATTCGATTACATGGAGTTACGAACTTAGACAAAAAAGAATATTCACTTGTTCTTGAATGTGCAGACGGTGGAACACTAAAAGATCATTTAAGGAAGAATACTATTTATTGGAAGAATCAACTAAGGTTCGCAAAAGAAATCGCAAGTGCCGTTTTATGGTTACATGATGATAAGGGAATAGTACATGGGGATCTTGTAAGTACTGTATATTTGTAAATTTTATTCACCATAATGCGTAATTGACACTTTCTTTTTTTTAGCATTCCAATAATATCTTAATACATAAAGATACGATAAAATTAGCAGATTTTGGACTTTCATTTGAAAAAGGAAAGGATCGTAATAATACTGGAGTATATGGTGTAATACCGTAAGTTGCTCGATCAAAGACTTCCATACAAGCTAAACGAGAAATCTGATGTATATAGTATAGGAGTTTTATTCTGGGAGTTGAGTAGTTATAAATCACCTTTTAATGGACTCGATGATGACCATATTACGTTTAAAATACTTAATGGCGTGAGAGAAGAACCTGTTCCGAACACGAACGTTAAATTTATTGAACTTTATCAAAGTAAGTGTTAAGTTAGTTTCGGAATAGTGATTCCTTTGGCTTTGGTGTTATCTTTATTTTTCTTCTCGTTGTGATCTAATCTTAATCTATCTGAATAGAATGCTGGGAACAAGAACCGGATGAACGGCCAAATATTTCTCAAGTGAATTCAGTGCTTAATAGTATTGATTCTAAAAGTAATAATGTATCTATTGTCTCTGGAAGCGAAGAAAATGGGAATGATCACTCCTGTCAAATTAATTTAAGCAAGATTAGTCAATTATATTAGATTATTTCATATACCTTTTAGATTTTCGTTATCATAACTGTTGTCCTATTTAAATAGGATACCCATCATTTTTTTATCTTAAACTTTTTAGTTACTATAGAGACTATAGACAGCAAAATAAAAGATCGATTTCTATTAAGTAATACGTATTATGTATTTTCGTTGTGCAACATCAGTAGCCCTTTGTATATGACTAACAAACATCCTGAGCTAGTAGTTATTCGACAGAATACCGTTGAACGTTCGTGTGAACCACAAATGCCCGGATAAATCCTTTTGCAATAATTCCACGTAAGTCAAAGTTTCATATTTCTATTACAAATACTTACCCATGAGTGATCTGCTTAAAAAAGTTATTCGGTTTAAAACTAACACTGTTTAACGCTAATTTTCATAGGTGTGTTTTATTATTGCGAATAACAAGACGACGTAAGACAAATGAGTTCATGTGAATAGTTTTTCGAAGCCCTTTTAACTGCATAAGTAACCAATAACACAACTTACTATATAATAGTAGTGATACTGTATGAAAACGCCCTGGACATAATAAGTGCTCATTAAATAGTTCTTGACTTCCAATAATCTGTCTCATTTCTATCGATGCTCAATTGCTCATGACATAATCTACCGTAAGACTCGAGATATCATTATTAACACTTCAGCTTCCATCAACGAGCTAACAGAGAACGAAAAAATAAATATAACTGGTTTGTGTTACTTTATAATTGTGTATTTTTGAAAAAGCGATTTCGCAAATGTGTTCAATGTGTTCGAAACGATTCTTTTCGATTTATTAATATTATGATTACAAGTACGTCAACTTCACATGACACTCGGGACAAGTGTTAGAATATCACGTTACTAAATATTATATGGCATCATATGTAGTACAATTTGTCTATAAAAATGTTCGCTTCTTTAGCTTCTATTAAATCAGCGATCAGAGATATTACTTCTAAATTTTGTTTGTGTAGTCATAGAAAAATTAACCGCAGTTACTGATCTTATGATACTGTGAACTGAGTCACGTTTTATATTGTGGAATTCTATTTTTTAAATCAATAACGAAGTATCACTTAATTCTGTTTTCTATTAGTACTTCTGGTATTGGCAACCGTTTTTTTGCATTCTAATAACAAAATGGCGATATATTTCGTTAAAATAGCTATTAGATACAAATCAAACCAAAAAAATTACTTTTATTCATTTCTTATAAATACATAAGAGCGTTGTGCCTTTGAACGCTGTTGTGAACAATTGTTACATTAATTCCTATCTTTCCTATATCTGCTTATAACTTAGAACGTAACATCTACTATATAATAACTGTTTTTGTATGACCGCCAATATGATAAATTATTATGTTATATTTTTATGTTTTCGATTGCTGTTATGCAATAGTCTTGCTACTCAAACTTTAGTTCCTAAACCTCTACTCCTCGATTGCCATTCCTGCATATGATGACACCCAAGCTGTGAAACACAATATACACATAGGAAATACGAAAGTAGACGAATCCTCATTGATTACCATATAGTATTTGATAAGTCACAGTGAGATGAATACTATTTCATTAAAATATATAACGAATAAATTGTTGTCAAATTATTCTATTTCAAGTGTCCCAAAATAATTAGTAAAGTGAAAGTGTCTATGCTAAGTACTGTTAACTTATTCCAATTATCCGATATAAACATCACTCCCTCTTCTGTTATCAGTAGTATACGAATAAACCCATGATCCTTGTAAATTCACCCAACGACAAAGAGATATTCCGTTGTTGCCGTGAAAAAAAATAAATGTGATGTTTCTTACTGACACAAAAATCCCCTAATACTTAAATCGCCGTATTCCTCACAGTAAATAACTGTTGGCATATTCCTCCATTTTCAGTGTGTCAAATATCTCGTTAATAGACATTGCGTTTTTTTGAATTAACTCCTGTTTTAATTTACACAGACAATAAGTGTCCTTACTATACGTCCTGGGCTTTGCCCACGAAGTGAAATTAACCGATCCTTACAGTATCCCCCCATCGACACTGCCTTTTCTTCGAAAAGTCCGTTGTACACCAGTAATAGATACTAATGTCCATCTTTGAGCGACCAGTTAAAACATCTACGACAAGACATATACAGTATGTAGTACGACACTTCAATTATTAGAGACCGGTACTAACAAGTAAGCTCACAGTTGATACCTTGAAATAATATACAGACTACTTGTTACATATTTCTTGTTATTTTTTAATTGCATATTCTAATGATCACACAGTTGACCGAAAACCTGTTGCGATACCTGTAGCTGTAGGGCATAATCTTTGAAGTTTGAACTCTGCCAGCTTTTGATGTTATTACGTTAAATATCCTTTTCACTTATTTCGAAATATGCTTGTAGATTGCTGGTTTTCGTTGTACTAAAATACGCTTCCAAAAAGATGATATTACCAGTTATTTCAGTTATTTCTTATTTTGCCTATTTTCAGGGGGTGTCACTTAGTGCAACATTTATGGCTGGCAAATGTTATTCACTAATCACTAGTCCAAGAAAGTAATAATATGGTTATACGTGTAACACGCATTAAGGAGAATATGTGTTTCATTGCATACATGAATAGATATATAAACGGAACATCTAACTCCGAAATTGTATAAATAGGGTTGAACTGATAATTTTTTGACTTTTTGCTCGCTTCTATCATTATGGTCTATTAAAAAAACCATCAAAAACCTCTCGTCATTTGTTTTAATTCAATTCGTTTTTACAAATTATAACTTTTGAAAACTGCGCCACTAACTGTTATATCAGAAAAAGAAACTACGCCACTAATATCTACTAAAAAGGGAAAAAGGAAAAAGGATATATATCTGACATGGTTTTTTTTTTACTGCGCAACATAAATTTCTAATTTAGGAAATATAAACCAAGCCAGTGGGAAATGTGTTACGATGTTTTACCATAATGGGGGAAAAAGAAAAGCTTCAGCAATTATTAATACGAATTTAAATCCTGATTCCTCATTTAGGATAAGATCATAAGATTCAGGATACAAAATATGAAACCATCTGATATGATTACTAATTTTAAAAAATGACATCATAATAGTCTTATCTCGAAGTATTGGATAAAAACTATGATTCTCAAGACTTTATTATTTTGGGGACTATAAGTTCTGGAAATTTTGCTTCGGTCTTTGTCGCAGAATGGAAAAATACACCAGCAAAGTTTGCGATTAAAAAATTTAAGGAAACTTCTAAGGAAGAAGACATTATTAATGAAGTACGTTGCTGATATAATCTCCTTTATGTCTTTTTTTGACATCACAATTTATAATTATAATTCTCTATTTTGTTCTACTGTAGATTAAGATAATGAAACTGACTCCTCATCCGTTTATAATTCGATTTTATGGAGTTACTAAATTAAAAGGTAAGGATAATATTAAATTTAAGGTCGATGCCTTTGTTATTAAATTTTCGTTTACATATTTTTTTTATTCTAGGCGAAAATAAATGTTCGCTTGTACTTGAGTATGCAGACGGTGGAACACTAAGAGATTATTTAAGAAAAAATACTATTCCTTTTGAATGGAAGGTCCAACTAAAGTTGGCTAGAGAGATTACAAGTGCGGTTTTATGGTTACATGATGATAGGGGAATCATACACGGAGATCTTGTAAATACAATAATTATTTGTAATTCATCTAGTTCGCCACATTGTGCAATTAACGCATTCTTTTTTTAGCATCCCAATAATATCTTAGTACATCAAAATACGATCAAATTGGCAGATTTTGGCCGTTCATCTCTAAAAGGATCAGATTGTTACAATACTGAAGTATGGGGCGTAATACCTTATGTAGACCCTAAAGCATTTGACCGAAAAACTCCATATAAGATGAACGAGAAATCCGATATTTATAGCCTTGCAGTAATATTCTGGGAATTAACAAGTCGCTCATCGCCTTTTAATTATGAAACGATTAACGATCACACTTCTCTTATGTTAGACATTCTTAATGGACTACGAGAAGAACCTATCATAAACACGAATGCTAGATTTATTGAGCTTTATCGAAGTAAGTATGAAAGTAATTGCGGAGCAATGAATCCTTCGGAGCTAGTATAATTTTTATTCTTGTAAACTAATGTGATTTATTTGAATAGAATGTTGGGGACTTGAACCAGAAAAACGGCCAGACATTTACAAAGTAAATTCAGAACTAAATAGCATTGATTCCGAAAACAATAATACGTTTACTGTTCCTCATTCTAAAGAGGAGATATGCAAAAAAATAGAATATGAAGATTCTGACTTGTCAAATTGCAACAAAGATTGTGATCTTAATGCGATTATGACTTTTCATGAATCTTAGATATTTTCATATATCGTTTTGTTTTCCAATGTAGTTTATTCAATAGAGTATTATTTTACGGACATTATTTTACGGACATTATTTTGTATAGAGTAAAATAAAAAGCTAGATTTTTTATTACGTAATGCGCAAATCTAGGCCATGGCTACGAAGTAAAATTATCATGTTGAGTGTTAATATTTGTGTATTAGTTGTGTGAACAATAAATAAACAATCTTTTTTAGGAAGGTGCGATATCATACATAACTAAATCGTAATCCATAAAGAGTGCACAATGTTTTACACTCTATGGTATATAGTAGAAGTTGCGGTAGATATCTTTGCTCCATGACTTGATACGACACTGGATACGGATAATTATACTGCCTTGTTAAAATATTTCACTTCTATGAAACATGTAGTTTCTCTTCATTTAAACGAATTAACTCGAAGATATCTAACGTGTAAACACTATTAACATCCATATTTTCATGTTAAGACAATTTTTATTGCAACGATAAGTATACGTAATAAATGCACGTCTCTTCTACCAAAGAAAGAAAACAGAAGCAAACAAAACTCTCACCGGACTTATTTCTTATCAAGAACGATCCTGTCCTTTGCAGATCACCAGGGAATTGTTCTTTTAATAACGTTTTCGCCTGTTCTAAATTTTCTCATTAATCGTGAAATGCTTTATTACTTTTGTCTCTTATAATTATCGCATAATTTTTTTGATTATCTCTTTCATCCAGTTCAAGGCCCTAGTTTTGAAGAACTCGTCTCTCTTGAATAAAGCATTTTGCTTCATACCATTCGTTCCACTTTATGTGATTTCGAAGGTGCCACCCGAGTCTCTGTATCATTTAACTGTACCTTCGTATCAATTAACTGAGTCTTAGTATTTTCATTTAAATCGTTTATTGCGGTCTCCATTAAAGAAAAATATTTTATTCGACCATAACATGATGGTGATTGATTATTGATATGAGGTTATAATTTAGAAAATTCTAGAAATAGCGCAATATGGTTGATCATTTCCAAAAGACAAATGACATGCATCAAAAGAGAAATAATTTTAGCAAGTAGCGATGCAAAAAGATTTTTCTATAATTCATACCCAATAATGAACTACTAACAGATAAACGTAAATTAATTCCGTCAGCATTATTTTTCTCTGTTAATCACGTACGCTAACATATAGTACATCACTTAGTAGATATGAAGGTTACTCTGGAAAAGCGTTGAATATACTAAAATGTCAACCGTATAATAAACTTCTATGCGCTATTGGTATTTCAAGTGAACAAAAAAAGATTCAAACAAGTGGCACAATGATATACGATAATATTTTCTGTAACCGATAGGACTAATATGATATATATAGTATAACTAACTATCCCTACTCTCGAGTGCAATGATGATACGAGAAGGATACATTAATTTGATCACAAGGTATTTATATTTTATGCATCCATAGTGTCTATGCTAAGATACTGCGATCATTACAGTAGTACTCTGCGTGATTTTAACTTATTCCAATTTCCGATATAAACATCACTCCCTCTTCTGTTATCCATAGTATACGAATAAACCCATGATCTTTGTAAATTCACTCAACGACAAAGAGTATATTCCGTTGTTGTCCTCTCTTTCCCGAATTGTCCTAAGACTTGGTGTGAAAAAAATAAATGTGATGTTTCTAATACTTAAATCGCCGTATTCCTCTCAGTAAATAACTATTGGAATATTCCCTCCATTTTCAGTGTATCAAATATCCCGTTCCAATTTATAGCATAGACATTACGTAATTTTTGAATTAACCGATCTCCCCCATAGACACTGCCTTTTCTTCGAAAAGTCCGTTGGTTGTTACACCAGTAATAGATACTAATGTCCATCTTTGAGCGACCAGTTAAAACATCTATGACAGAACATATACAGTATGTAATACGACACTTCAATTATTAGATTAACCAACAAGCCTACAGTTAATGTCTTGAGATGTCTTGAGATAGTGTACATACTGCCTGTTACGTACTTGTTATTTTTTAATTGCATACTATATTCAAATGACCACATAGTTGACAGCATGTGATAAATGTAAGATATTTTTTCGACTCTGTCGGCCTTTGATAGAGTTATATAAATATTAGATGACTGTTTCCTTGTTCTAAAATACACTTCCAAAAAAATATATAATCCGAAACGATAATATTACTAAAAATGAGTTCTGAATACATATTCTTTGAATACCTCTGACTTATTTTAATCTATATATAACAAAATCTTCGAAGTATTATGTCTAGAGAGGATTACTTTCATGTTCATGTTTTTTCTATATAAACTGTGACCTCACGGTTGCTTATTTTCATTGGGTTCCTGCCTCCCTGGGAAGCTAGTGAAACAATTATGGTATCACACAATACAATATCTCGAAAGGTGCCCATTTCTTGTTTCTGAATGTTATAACCTAGATGCTATACCTTAGAAACTTATGCAGTAAGTTAGAGGTTTATATTTCAGTTGACTGGTGTAGCATGGAGAAACAACAATGGTCACGATGTTATTTTACTCGATAATCAAGACAGGTTAATATTCAAACTATCGAAGCCGATATTTGTTGTATATGGTGAGAATATGGAAGGTAATATCATTGTATGCGATGATTAATGGGTAAGGCACAAAAGCCAGACTCGGCTCTTGATGTAGTCAAGTAGAGAGAAATAAAAACATTGCAGAAAAATCGGGCTAGATTTTTAGGACTTAGCATAAAATAATCATGTATCACGTGTATTTATTTTATTTGACAAATAAAAAAATTAAAGTGCGTATTACTTATATTACTTGTATATAATTTCTTTCATTGTAGCATAATATATTAAGAAAAATTATTTGATTTTGTTGTTTCCAATCTAAATTGGTCCCCCATTACGATGATTTCCCTACTTTCATATTTTTTCTTTTTACATACATACAGCATCATCACTGAAAACTACCAAGAATCGGTATATGTAATATTTTTATTTTTTATGCACATACTAGCTGTAAAATAGAACTTTATGTGGAAACTTTATTTGACTCGCACAAAAAATTATGTATCAATCGTACCAGTATCAATCAGATTTTGTACTTCTCGCCGTCATTGCATTCGCCAACTTTTCTCCAAAAACTTGTTTTACGTTACGGTTATCAACAATGACTATGAGATTACCTTTTTTGTCATATCGAAAGATATTTGGCCTTTTTGATAAAGCTCTGTGTGGTAACTCAACTAAAATGTGAATGCATTTTCTGTTATAAGTCACATCTGCGATTTTATGGTGAAGTTCCACAAAACTAGCGGTTTTGGATTCTTTATAACCCTTGAGAGTTTTATCATAATCTAAATCGTAATTCAAATCATTCTGATCTGAATCATCATCATCATCATTATCATCAACAACGATAACCCTTTTCTGAGGTTTCTGATATTTTTTAGTAAGGCCAATTTCAACACATCCCTCCTCTCCATCGTTTTGATCATTTAGCTTCATTTTCTTATTCTGGGGTCTAGATTTTTTTTCATTATTGGACCTCTTCTTGTTTTTCTTTTCTTTTTTTTCTTCTTTTTTTTCTTCCATGTACTGGAACCCCAGGCACGCCTTGAAAGCTTGCTTTTTAACCTTGCTTGATGTAACATTTTCATCGTAGATAGCGGAACTCAACGATAACAATACCACGTTATTTGATTCATTTGATTTATCTACAAGACAGAGTACAAGATCAGAACCTGCATTTTGCGGCGGTTGGATAGCATGAGTATGGTACTTGGTTGTTTGGTATATGTCTTTAACATAAACATCCAGTGGAACAGCTTTTGATAGATTTGTTTCCGTTACAAACTGCATTCCAGGCGTGATCCATTCTGGAAACTTGAAATGTGGATCAAGATCATCGGTCCACTTTTTAAGTTCTTCAAGCACGTTACGACCGCATTTTTCAATAATTGCTGATGCAAAAGCACCATCAAGCTCATTACCAAATGACTGAGGGCTTCCAAGACGTTCTAAGATGTGACTAACATAAATATCTGTCAGAGTTGCATTGTTATCTAACATAAAATATTTTCCAATGGCCGTAATAAAGTAAGACTCTAATTCTAGATTGATTTTGATCGAAGTGAAGTCAATTTCTTCAGAATTAAGGGTAATGAAAGGTGGCGACTGAATAGGAAGAATCCCATGTCGAAGTAATTCAGCACCAGCCGATGTTGAATTAATAATTCCGCAACAAACAAGATCAACAATCGCCTTCCTTGGGTCGACCCCTCCGATTGCCAAAGTACTGACGGTATTGCGCAAATAGCTTATCATTGACATAGTTATTTTCTCGATCCATTTCTTACTAGTTTTAACCATTTCATCATCTTTATCTTTTAGCAATTCTGATCGGTAGGCTAGCATTTTTAAAAACGACGCACAGTTTCGGGGTCGTCCTTTGAGAATATTTCCTAAATAAAGAAGAGTTTCAGGACTAACCCCTTCCATATTGATTACAGTGTCGAGAACTTTGGTAACATCATCAGGTGAGAGATAAGGGAGTTTCAACACAAGATGCACTGCTCGAGATGGTTCTTTTCCAACACTAGTACCTAGGGATATTCCGCTTGACATATGCATATTAGTGCCAGAAATAATGTGTGTAACTTCAAATTTGAAAGCGATCATGTGATAAGTATAGGCCTGCAAAAAATTCCATGGTTTGTTTGCTTCATTACTTCCAGTGTATTCTCCGTATTCAGGTCGGCAAAGACATTGCGCCTCATCTTGGATAAAGAGGATCCGTTCAATTTTAAGACATTGATTGATGAAATGTATAAGTATCGACAATTCTCTTGTGCTCAGTTCTGACAGGTTTTCGCAAATAAGGTTTATACTTTTCTTATCTAAACTATAAAGTTGTGCCAATAGCCAATCCTTTGGTGTTTTGATTTTTTGCTCTACATACATTTTGACTAGTATTAACATACGTGAGACGAAATCTATGTCGAGCTGGCGAAGTGCCCACTCCTGGAGTGTGGTATCATTGAAAGGTGGAGTTTTCGCTCTAACTGCACCGAGTAGATCAGATAATTGATTATTATATTCTGAAAGAAAATTGGAACAGTCTATATGTACTGCCCAAAGTTCTGCAGCAATGGCAAATGTAGTTGACGTTTTCCCCCCTCCTGTGACTCCGGCAAGCACAATAATATCTTGTTCATACTTTTTAATTTTATTTCGCACCAATCTAACGGTCTCTAGAAATTGCGGTTCGTGGTATAGGGGATTCTTATAGGTCATTTCAGTATTCACTTCAAAAGGAGGGAGGCAAAGATCGATTCTATCACACGTCCTTTTAGTAACACCATAGGGTAGGGGTGTTTTGAAAATTGAAGGGCTCTGTTTCAGCTTGACGTATGGGTTGTTCGGAGTTTCGAATGAAAAGTCATGTGAACGATCCCAAATTACGGCGAGACTCTGAGCCAGTTTACGAAAAAAAGGTAAATCGACACCATCGACATGAGGAAAAGTCTTTCGTAAATCACCTAGAAACAAGAATAAACAGTAAAGAGAAGGTTTTCAAAAAATACAACTTATAAGACTGACAATGTTACAAACCAATTATAGCATCGATATTCTTCTCTGCGTAACCATATAGAAAGCAAATAACAATGAACGTGAGTAATATACGATATTATTAGCAAAAAACGTTGAGACACTTACCAGTAGCATAAACGGGGGCTACAAAGATATGAAAGATAATTAAAAAAAAAGAACATGATACAGTGCAAGGTTAAAAATTAAATAAAGGTATTTTTTTTTTCAACTGTAAATTTCGATTAAACATTGGGAACTTACCAGTGTTACCAGTGGGGGGAATAATGGCGATGACGTGAATGTTAGACACTTTAAAATTTTGATTATTATTATTTAATTCATCTTGAAAATATTCTTCAAACAGTTCTTCAGGTTCCATTTCTCGCCCATTAATATTGATAATGTCTTCTTCGGTATGAACATTTTTTTTGATCTCGCTTTTCTTGACATTAACTTTCCAGAGTTTCACTCCGCGCATGACAGAAACATCAACCTTATTCCTACTACAGATAAAATTCAAGATATTTCCAATCTTGAAAACGGTAAGATTATATTTATTGTTACCAAGCATGGTATATCTTATGTCTTCTTCCTTGTAAATGTCAATTGTAAAAGTGTCGGAAGAACTCAGAACGTAACAGTTGAACGATATTCCCATTTCGATGATATTGCTAATAAGAGTGAACAAATAGATGTAAGTTAAAAAGAAATAAGTTGAAGTAAGTTAAAAAAAGTTGAAAGAGTTTTTTGGAGGTATATATACTTGTAAAAACCTCATCATGACTGATAAAATAGACTCGGTGGCTTGTTGTAAGTTTATCAGTAGCGAAAGAAATGAATCGCTTCTCATGAGTAATTATCACGAGTATTGATTAATTACTATTACCTAAATGTATATGGTAACGCAAGTGACATATTATGCAGGTGACAAATAGAGATCAGATCACAAGTCGGCAAGACGGCAAGTCGCTGAGATAAATATAAACAACGCGAACGCGGCGGTCACGTGTCCGGTGACGGTTAGGCATCACACCTTTCCGAGGTGGTGTGGTAAGATCATTCATTTTTCGGTTGTACAATTGACTAAAAAAAAATAAAGCGCAGTAACTCACTCAGTAACTCTAAACCGTTATATTATTTTCTCCAAGCCTGAACTCGTTGAAGTAAATATTTGCTATAAAATTATTAACAACATTAAAGCCGAACGATATAATACGCAATTAAGGTATGAATATTTCAGCTGTGCAAACTAATGACCATTTTTTATATAGTTTTCTAAGGACCTTACTAATACATTACTAGATCACAGAACGCAAACAACATAAAATTCGGCAGGGTTAATGTTATGAAACGTTATTTACTTTCTGATACTGCATGTTTCGTGTAAGTTAACTGTCGACAATAACTAGACACGATATTGAGTCTCACTCAAAAAGTAGTATCATTATTTTATCAATTTTATAGTGTATTGTATTTTGTCAACAAATTTAAACTAGACTCATGGTTAAAAAAGTATCCTTGATGAGGATAAATGATAATATGAATATAGAAAATCAAATATGCTAATTCATGTGTTTCTTTCAACACAGAAAAATGCGTTCTGTCAACATCAATTGTCTAGTTCTGGGAAAGCCATTCAGAAACATAATCTCTATCAAAATTAAAGAAAACGAAACGATTGGCGAACTTAAAAGACGTATTAAAGCTGAAAAAGATTACTTCGACACTATCGGTGCAAGTGACCTCAGATTATGGCGTACAAATACCCGTATATGAAGCAATAATGCAATTCCTTGTTTTGATCTTTCCGATAGCAACGAAATATTGTCATATTTTGAGATCAAAGACATTTGGAAAGAAGATCCTCCCAAATCCAATCTCCACGTAGTTATTAAAATCGAAGGTTAGTGTTACTTTTTGCTTACATTAGTTTTCCATTACAATAAATAACAAAATACTTGCAACCAGTTGTCGCCCTCAACTGCATAATTTCTGGTTACCCTTCTGATACATACTATCCGATTGAAATCTCTGTAGAAAGAAATGTTGGTGAACTCAAGTCTATGATTAAAAAACGATGGAAACCTCTCTTTAGTCATATTGTTTCCAACGAACTAAAACTCATGGCTATAAACATCCCTCCTAATCAGGTTATTACATATGAAGAAGACAAGTGTGTCATGAAGAACTTAGACAAAATTAAGAGCGTTTTCGCTAATTCAATCTACAATTATAACCCTGATCATCTTCACGTAATGATAAGTTCAGATACCTGGAAGGAAGTACATTGTAAAGCCATTTATAAAAAAACTATATATGAGAAGCACGAGAACAATTCCAATGGAAGATCACTCACGCAACGGTAACATTAGTCAAATTGAAGGACAAGTTACGCAAGTATTTCTCAGAACTTCATAATATTGAAAAACAGTCTATTAAGCTTTATAGGGCACATGATGGAAACATCCAAGGGGAATTTATTCGAAGTGATTCCATGCTAGAGCGAATCATGTGGGGAAAGTTTTATAGAATCGATGTTAGTATAATCATCGAAGTTCAACATGAATAGCTACATCAAATATTAGATTGTGTAAACAATTCATATTTTTATATTTAAAGAACAGTTATATTTACGTACAAAAAATAGAGCCTCGCAATGATAGAATGATAAATAATTTCCACGAAGTCTTCTACTTTAACTCATCATCTCGGAATATTGTTTTTTTTAATGAAGGTTAACGTCGTTACGTAGAAAATGTAGATTACACTGTCTGTTATCTAGAGTACGCTCAGTGGACAAAGTGGACAATTAATTTTTGACCACGGATATCAACAACATATAAAAAGGATCCTTGGTGTACAAGAAACAACAGCTTTAATTCACGTAAGTACGCCACATGGGTACCTATAAGAGAATCAATCATCTTTTAATTTATTATCGTAACAAAAACTCAATGTATTCATTGCTTTATTCTAGTTAGAAAAAATAGAATGCACTTACAATCAGAAGACATAGACACAGAAAGTTAATTATATTTGTGGAAATTCTGCTACAAAAATTTTTACATGCAAATTCAGTCCCGAAAGATATGTGGTCAGAGGCGCAAGCCGAGTAGTTACCCTAATATTCTGATTTTTGCAACCGGTTCCTACGCAAGATATATTTTACATAGAATTTATATAGAATAGGTTTAATGGTGGTTCTGCAAAATATGATTATATATCGCATCAGACAATTGCATGCAATAAACTGTCCCGATTATTATTTATTTATTTTTATTGATAATTTCTTGGTATACAGTCTGGTATACATGGTCTAAGTAGAACAATACATAAATTTTGTCTACGTGAGGCATGAAGGGAGATAGCCAACTGTGACCCAAGATCATGGTTCGTAGTTGTGAACAGTGATAAACATTTAGCACTAGTGCAACTCACAAAAACAAATTCAGATAGTTCTGTGATATAGAATAATGTAAAATCGTTTATTAAGTTAATGATGTGTGTCCTTTGAGTAGCCTCTGACTGGTGCAAAGCATCGTTTCGAAGAAGTGAAGTACATTTCTTTCTATGATTGTACTGTATGATTCTGGGATGGGATAATGTATACGATATGTATACGATACAGAGTAACTTAAACTATCCTTTTGGAATTCTAAATATTCGACACATGGTTGACAATTTTTCTTCTATTTGTTCCAGTTTTGTATCTCTTGTAAAAATGCAATTCAGAGTTATGTAATATTTTTTTTGCCTGCAATTCACGAATGCTTTATTATCATTAAAAAAAACTTGGTTCTATTAAGAATACGAAATAATCAAACCGATATATGTCCAATGTGGTCAGTTTCTATTTTCCCCGTTTTCGATTACTAAAATATTATGTGGCCAAAGCCTCTTTGCATACTGTTTTCCTCTTAAAGTTATGATTCGTATATGAGATGTCATAATTATTGGGAAAATTGTCGGAAATAAACATATTCCGTGGGAAAACAAATATCCGAAAAAATAGTTTTCATTGTGGCACAGGTAATCAGTAATCGTTGATCGTTTCCAAAAAGCCGTTCCTTTGATTACAAATGAATGCCGCAGCACAAAAAATTGCCCAACAACGAGACTGTGACCTTAGGGTCACGGTTGTAAAACTGAGGCTAACGATTACACTGTGGCTTATGCCTTATGGTGCCTGTCACTCGTAGCAATTCAGTGAAACAGTGCAAGTCTCTGCGCTTGTTTTTTTCGATAAAAGATACACCCCGCAATAACTAATATATTTCCATTATCGATATAAAAATGATGTCACCATAATTATCCAATTCCGAATTCCATGAATATCGCCTTAACGGAGATTGTCATCATTATGAAAGCCACCACTTCGACTCAAAAATGTCCAAACACGATAACATGACATTCACTTATATTATTATCTAATGACCATTAGTACACAGTATAACAAGAAAAGAATATTGTTGAGTGTTCGAAACTGTTGGGACCAAATCCATTGTTATAGTTGAAGACAGAAAAAATAATTGTTAAATGTCCAGTGGCTTTGAAACTGTTATAACATAAATAGGATAACGTAAAATACCACCTCTTTGTCAATGGAGATAATTTTATATTTTCGTTTCTATTATGGTCCTCTCTTTCATCAACGATGTTGTCTTCATGTTACTTAAAACATAGTAATAATACCAAATATTATAATAAACTGCCGAGCTTATTGTCGTCTTCATTTTTACCTTTAACTCACATAACAATATTAATTACAACCATGAAAGAATAATTGTATGGCAAGTACTCTTCAAGCAGTCTCCACCTGATGTGAAATATCGTTGATAAAAAGTGTGTTCTGTATCTAGATAGTTTTCAATAGTATTATTGTCTAGAACACTAGTCCATCTTCTGAGGATATTTATTTTGGCCAAATAAACTATTTGATGAATCATCGTCCTAATATTGTGGACTGATCGTCTTGCTCTAGATTCCATCTACCCTCCTTTATAATTAGGAACACAGAGCGTGATTGAGCGACAAGACACTCAGTTCCTAGGGAGACTGCCCAAAAAGCACATGATTACTCTGACATTCTTATGTATTTTGATTACTAAAAAAATATATTGTATGACCATTTTCTGCATTCGAATATTTGTCATTGATATGTAATCGAATTATTAATCGCTTTCCCTTCAAAGAACTGTTCCAAGAATTCTTGGGAGTTACATAACATAACTATTACGGTTATCTACATAGATTTACTACATCAGAAATTTAGATCCATAAATCACGTAACTAATTGTTATTGATATTTGTAGTCGAATAATTGTATTTATTCTCTGATTGTATACCCCATTTCGATTTATCATATGCTCCTTGTTCTCGATCAAATATTTCAAAAAATGTTACAAAGAAACGAAAAATACTACACAATCCTGTTATCTTTATTTTTTTACTACCACCATCTTGCGTTTACATTACCACTTTGATGAACTTTCCTTTGACAACAAAAATATTATTTTCTGTTGTAGACATCATACTCGTATATTTTATGTACAATGTATTTTCCTCTCCCCATCATCTATTACTATTTCAATGATCATATATCTAGGTGGAGCCTACGAAGTAGATTCTTCTTGAAATGCTCAAGCAGTGTATGAGTATTACGCTCTACATATGACAAAACTATTAATAATATTTTCTTCTTTATTCGATTTTTTGTCATTGACGTCTATACCGGTTATTTAGTGAAACTGGCCAATGCAACTTCGCACATTTTGCTCTTTGAGCGTCTCCCTAAAAACCTAGGTTTCTAGAACTTCCTCTGCAAAGGTCTTAGGAGAATGTGTTCCTAAGGCTGATGTTTGATATGTTACAAAATTTTATACTAAGGAACGAAAAAAATTATTATAGTCACTAAATTCAATTACTAATTGGTGATAGAATTGGTGTGACCATAGTTGATCACTATGACGACGAATATGAATAATCATCAATTCATCATGCTTTGTGGCTTACATATGCGCGGATCTTAACTCTAACCCCAATTTTTAAGACGTAACCCCAAATGACGGTCATGTTAAATTGGATATGGTAACACTACATCAAACCATTTTATTGGTCGATCTAATCTGTAACACAAATTTCATGCAAAAAAAAAAAATTCACGAAACTTTGTAAAATAATTACGCGGTTTAAAAAATTATTCCTAGCTTCTAATTTGCAAATGTCTGACACACAAGAAATTCATAATTACCCCTTTGACTCAATTATTAATTTTAAAAAATCAGGACATAGTTTTTCATATAAAATTATAAAAGAAGGAACGTATCCTAATAAATCTTTATTAGCTTACACTCTTCCTCCTAATAAATATCGAATCCCTGATGATTATATGGTAGAAACAACTTGGGGTAGAAGTAATAATCGATGTGTTGTTCAGTGTTTTATTAATTACATTGATAATAAACCAGTTTTTCAAATCTGGTTTGGAAAGTGTTTTGAACATGTAGTATCTTCAGTTAGAAGTGCGACGGATGTTACAAATTTATTTCATAAAGTTTGTACACTAAATTATTTTTTTTTAGTTTTTCTATTTTTTTCTATTTATAAATTAACTTTAAAATATTTATTTCAGGAATATACATCTTTAAAAAAAACAAAAACATTAGGAATTTATTTGTTTGGTCTTCATCTCAAAACATTAGAAATGGCAAGAGAAGGCAAGCGACGTGCACATATATTAAAACCAATTGACCAATGTGGAAATTCCACCCTTACAAAAC